CAACATGAAACTTTGTAGGTGAATAGATCTCAATGGATAGATGTGCAGTGCAAAAGAACCATAACTCTGTTAAGCCTTATTTTTGAATAATCTCCCCTTTTAGAAAAATCTTGTCCAGGACATAGCTGTAAAACTATAAGAGATATCAACATGAAACTTTGTAGGTAGATAAATCTCAATGGGTAGATGTGCAGTGCACAAGAATCATAACTCTACCTTGCCTAATTCTGGAGTTATTGCCCTTTGTTTATTTTTACTTTTTGAATTGTCCAGGACATAACTCGGGAAATCATAAGAAATATCATCAAGAAACTTTGTAAGTTGATAGATCACATTGATTAGAAGTGCAGTGCAAAAAACTGTAACAGCCTTGCCTAATTTTGGAATTATTGCACTTTGAACTTTTTCCACGGACATAACTCTGAAACTACAAGAGGTGTACTTTCCTGTGTCCAAAACCTATTCGGGGAGCATCACCCGGCTCAAACCGGGCTCTTGTAATGTTTAGGTTTTCTAAGTAAACAGTGAGATAAAAAGTGACAGGGGAAAAAACACAGTTAAAACATTTAAACCAGTTTTTCATAACAAAATATCTTCACAAATCAGCAACAAATTTTACGTTTTCCAAGATAAGATTAGAGATTATACTTCAGGCTGTATAAATCTTGTAAATCTGTCAGAAGTTTTTGTCAATGAGCTTGTGGTTTCATGCTCTTAGAAAGAAGGTTATTTTGTTTTGTTTTTTGGTTGGGTTTTACATTGCACCAACACATATATTGCGACTTTTCAGCGTAATACTGGTGGAGGAAGACCTCAGGTGCCACTCAGTGCATTATTTCAGGCACAAACAGGCACCGAAGTAGAACCACTGACTTTGCCCTTTACTGCTGTAGGTTCGAATCCCATCTGAGGATCTATAAATATGTTTTATTGAGAAAGGTATCATGATTGATTTACTCAGGTGCCTAATGGCTGGGAATAATGCATGGAGATATCCAAGGGTCTTACTTTTCATACTGTTTGGCACTCATACTCGTCAAGGAGATATATGACTTATCTGTCTTTGAGAGAGTTGTATAAACATTATTTGAGCCGTGTCATGACAAAACCAACATAATGGGTTTGCGACCAGCATGGATCCAGACCAGCCTGCGCATTCGCGCAGTCTGATCAGGATCCATGCTGTTCACTATCAGTTTCTCTACTTGTTATATGGTTTGTAAGCGACCAGCATGGATCCTGATCAGACTGCGTGGATGCGCAGGCTGGTCTGGATCCATGCTGGTCGCAAACCCATTATGTTGGTTTTGTTATGACACGGTTCATTTATGTTTTAATTAAACTTGATTCGGTTAACTTTTTTGCTGAATATAAGATTTAGTTGTGTATCTCGAAAATCATTTCTTGTTTGTAGGCAAATATAATTGTAACCCTGCTAGAACTGTAAATGATAAGCCATTGTCATCTGTATTATTAAAGAAATATTCTCGTCCATGCAGCTTGACCAAGATCTATACTGACCAGCTTCAAATTGTCATCTTAACATCCCTATAATTGATAATGAACAGTTCTGAAAATGGAAGCTGGGCAAGTCCATTTAAGAAATTTAGTAGGTTAACTGGATTTTACTTGTAATATATAATTTAAAATGACAAATAACAAGCAAAATATTTTACCATGAATATGCTTTGTTTTGAGATTATTTTTTTTTACCAAATTGATGTGATGTTTTGCCTCTGCTCGAATATAAAAAAAACAAAAATGAAGAATATTGCTCATTTGTTTAATTTTCTTTTTTGTTTGCCAAATATAGAAGAGTGTGAATGTTTAAGTAATGTTTTACAAGAACAGGAAATAATCATAGAGAAGGCTCTCTTGGTTAACACTTGTCTTAACTCTGTTCATACAAGGTTGCAACCAGGTGACAACATCTGTTGTTTGTACACTAAACAGCAAAAGAAAGTACGCACTTTATATTTAGGGTAAACAGGTTGTAAAAATTTTCTTACTGCCACCAGGGAACCCATGGGTTATAAAAGGTTATCAAAGGTTATAAAATTTTTTATCAGCTTAAACTCTGATCTCAGGTATTTGATTGGTCACAAACTGCCAAAGAAAAAATTGAAACAAAATACCCTGGTAGAGTGAATTCATTGGCAAACTGTAAATAAATATCAAGTTGTTATGACAGTTTATTAAATTGTTATACAGAATCAAATTTTTGATCTGTTCCCTGAGTGCTTACACTCTTGCTGGTAAGTGTAAAAATCTCTACTGTCCATGCAAAACTACCACTCTTAAAATGCCAAGTACAAAAGTAACATGATGTCTTAAACTTGCTGAGAACAGTTCTAATAACAAGCACATCAAAGGCAGAGTGATAAAAAATCTAAATCTGGTTTTATGAGAAAAAGAAGCAAAAATTTTAATGGAAGTCCATTATCTGCTATAATCGAGGGAGTTGTAATTGCTTGTGTCGGCTTCTCGTGCAGAGCCATTCTTTCCCTTTCCATAATGTCACTGTCAATAAAACTTTAAAATATGAAAACAACAAAATTTTAAAGCTGTAAAAACAGTATTAATGTGAAATTATTTTCAGTTTTATGGTGGATTGTTAAGTAAGTTTCTTGCAACATCATTTTGGAGTGTCTGCTTGCTGATGCTAAAAGTTAATCATTGATAAAGCAGGTCACAGTGTGGACCCCAGTTAGAGCTCAAATCCATAGCTTCTGGCTTTGAAGGTTGATAGACCTTATTAACTAAGCCATGGTTTCTCTCAAATTCTTTTTGACATGATAATAAAACCAATACTTTTGTTAAATGATCAGTCAGTTGGTCTGGATACTAAATAAAACTTAGACCCATAGCTTCTGACTGAAGGTTTGAGAGACCTGAACAATTATGCCATGGCTCCTCTCAAATTCTTTTTCCCATCTAAAATTTTTTCAGCCTTGATATTGAAATGTGATGATACCTACTGTATTATGGAGAACAGAAAAAAACACTGAAGAACAAATATACTTAGTTGCTTTAAATATAAAATACTTATAAATAAATACATAAATATTCACTAAGTACTATAAAACACAATTCTTAGAAGCAATTATCTTGCATAAAAAAGAATGTTTCTTAAAAACAATTGTGAATTAACACAGTACATTAACCCCACTTAACTTTGTTAAAAAACATGACCTTTCAAAGAAAGGATGCATTCGTTGTAAAGTAATTATTAGAAAAAGAGAAATCACAAGGCTTCCCCTCATGTAGAATTGGTTAATCAGCTTTAAAGTCCCATACTTCAAGTTCAAGTGTAAGTGTTAAGTGTACATGTAAAAATCAAAATAATCTAGCATTTTGCCTTTTATTTATAAATCACATAATAAAATAATCGAAAACCCACATGACCCACACATTTTTTTTTATTGAGATGACCAAGTAGAAATTTTGTGGGGAAGGGAGACCCCCTCGAGAGCCATGAAGATAATATGTCAGATTCTCTCTCTATATATTTATATAAATTGTTTAATTGATTAAGCCTGTAACTGACATACAATGAAAACTATAACATCTCTGTTGCCTTGGAAGCAATTTTATAAGCAGTATTGAATCTGTAATGCTGAAGTACAGTAATCAAAGTTCCTGAAGGACCAGAAAAATAGACCAATACTCAGATTAAAAATATGGGGAGACTTTTTACGTCAGCAACACCTTACAAATGTGATCTGATATGGATGTGGGCATATTCATTCTGGGGAGAGGGACAGTTTGCATAAATTTGATGGTTTAGAAATTAAGGACAATGAGAGGGAGGGAGTTAGTAAGTGTGCAAGGGAGGGAGGGAGAATGCAAGTGAAGGAGGATGTGAGGGAGAGTGTGAGTGTGAAAGGGAGAGTGTGCAAGTGAGGGAGGTAAATGGTAGACACTAAAAATAAGTGGAAATAGAAAAAAATATATAGGTGCAGCATCTCTTTTAAAAGTCATTATTGTCCTTTAAAGAATCTTTTGACTCAGATTCCCCTTAGTTCAGTGGCCTTTTCTTGGATATTAAATGAAACCATAGAAGTAACATCATTATAACTGTATTGAGATCTATTTCTGATAAAAGTCTTTTGTAGAGCAACACAAAAGAAAATAATAGTTAGAGTATTCAAGAAGCGATCCTTAAGGTTCTTGTAAATAATCATAAAAAAATAATAATCAGAACAATAAATTAGTAGCTACTGAAGAAAAGATACAATTTTCTGCGAACTGAGAAAAAAATCATAGGCACTGTAAAAACGTAGAAGCTTTTGATTTTATAGGCATGAAAATGGTTGAAACACAAGTTGTTTCATTATTTTATAAACCTGATTTTGATTCAGATTTAATCTGGGAGGCCATTGTGTTTTGTGAATAATTATTATTATATATCCTTATAAAGTACATGTAATTAATTAATTTTAGAAAATTTGAAAATGCAAAAATTTATTTTCTTATAGAGGCATGCTGTTTTAAAATCAAAACTGAAATATTGCAAGACATCTAAAGTGTGGTTGATGAACATGTTAAAGGAACTCCACTGAGGTCCAAAGGCCTAAAAACATAAAAGTTGAAAATTTTAAGTATTTAAAATGGAAAAATCTGCATAGGATAAAAAAAATACTCAGAATTAAAATAAAAATCAATTTTGAGCAGTTCCTAGCTGGATTTGAGTGAAAAGTGTCGCATTACTTTTCATTTTTAAGTTATTTTGCACAATAAAAATTATTATTCTTGAAAATCTAGGTTATGGAATGACATAAAAATTAGAACACAAGTTATTGGCCCAAACATTCATAAAATGGCACACAAATCTCAGAAAAAAAATTCCAGTCCCGTCATGTTAAAAATCCTCAGTCGCGTTTCTTTAACATTATTTTGTTATTTTCATTGTGATCATTTTTGACATTATTTTGTTATTTTCATTTTGATCATTTTTGACATTATTTTGTTATTTTTATTTTGATCGTTTTTGTTTTCAGGATCCCTATGCAAGTTATGATGTCAATGGACATAAACCAGATCCTATGCCTAGATATGACTACACAAATGAGAACAGGTAAATTATTCTATTTATAGCTTTTCCAGTGGGAGATTGAGGACAAAGGCAAGGGCATTAAGAGGGAGACGGTAGGGTTAAATGGAAATAGTTGACTAATATGTACTCAGGTGGCAGACTTTTTGGTTCAAACATGCATTGTATTTATTTAAGCTCGTTTGTAAAACAAGTTTTTGCAACTTGTATTAATCACTTTGAGTCTGCTTCCAGGAACCAGCCAGTATTGGTGTCATATGAAGAAACATGGTCATGACCCAATTAGCGCTCGAACCCATGATCCCTGGGTTGAGAGGGAGACACCTTAACCACTAGACCAATGCTCCCCTGGAAGACCTTTAAGGGAAAGAATCACATTTTGATTAGGAAATCAGAGGAATATTGAGGAACAGTACTAGACATTTATTTTATTATTCTATATAAACATTACAGTATATTTTCCAAGACATGAGAGAAGTACCTCTATCTTCAAGGTTAAATCTTTTTACCTGCTGACAATGATATTGATTAGCTTTTGTCACCAGTATAGAGCCAGGCCAGCCTGAACATTAGTGTAGTTTGACCAGCCTCTAAATACTGTTAGTAGCTGAATTTTTGTGTCGCCTCTACGGAGTAGTGGCGACATATAGGGATCACTTCTCCGTCGTCTGTCTGTCCGTCTGTCTGTCTGTCTGTCCGTCTGTCCGTCCGTCCGTCACAAAACTTGTCCGGACTACCCCTCATAAACTACTGGTGCAATTTCATCCAAACTTTACAGGAATGATCAGTATCAAGTCTAGTTGTGCATATTGTCAGCATTTTCCGGTTCAATGATTTTTGTCAGAGTTATGGCCCTTTAATAATTTTTAATTTTAAAGTTTGTCCGGACTACTTCTCTTATACCACTAATGCAATTTCAATGAAACTTTACAGGATTGATCTGTAGCTCAAGTCCTTGCGCATATTGCACGGGTTTTCCGGTTGAATGATTTTTGGCCGAGTTATGGCCCTTTGATAAAAAGGTGTTTTTTTTTCTGTGTGTTGCCAGATACACAAAAGCTTGTCCGGACTACTCCTCATAAACTACTGGTGCAATTTCATCCAAACTTTACAGGAATGATCAGTACCAAGTCTAGTTGTGCATATTGTCAGCATTTTCCGGTTCAATGATTTTTGTCAGAGTTATGGCCCTTTAATAATTTTTAATTTTAAAGTTTGTCCGGACTACTTCTCTTATACCACTAATGCAATTTCAATGAAACTTTACAGGATTGATCTGTAGCTCAAGTCCTTGCGCATATTGCACGGGTTTTCCGGTTGAATGATTTTTGGCTGAGTTATGGCCCTTTGATAAAAAGGTGTTTTTTTCTGTGTGTTGCCAGATACACAAAAGCTTGTCCGGACTACTCCTCATAAGCTACTGGTGCAATTTTATCCAAACTTTACATGATTGATCAGTACTTAGTCTAGTTGTGCACTGTCCGTCTGTCTGTCCGTCTGTCACAAAATTTGTCCCAACATGAAATTGGCCATTATGAGGCGACACATGTGATTACTGATCGCTCTTGTTGTATTTTGTTGATGAAATTCTAATCTTGGCAAATCTGTTCTATAAATTCATCAAGTAAAAGGGTGTAGAATCCTCAAATTTTATTATTTACCTTGCTTTAAATACAATGTAGTCACTTTCACTGCAATGTCGGTTACCCACGTAGCATTACATGTAATCAACTGATAAATGTTAATGGTTCAGCCATGGGTATCGAACGCTGATACAAGCAAATATCTTGGAAACCAGCAAATATTTTTTTAATAGATAGCGGTGAACAGAGGCAAATAAAATTCTTTGTCATATTTGTCATGAGAAAAAACTCTGGACAATTATATTACGATTAATAGGAACCGAGGGAATATATCTGTCATCGAGATAAAATACTCAATATGTAACAAATATATATCGTTTATGCAGTGATGACTGGCTGAGATAATGTTACAATAGTAACTTGTAGAGCACAAACAAAATATATTGAATAATTTATTACATCCATTATTTTGTTACCATCATTATTTAGTTGCAGGGAATATTCGTAATATGTGTATTTTATTTGTATTATGTAATGTATGGAATAAAACATGTATATCAATGGATTGGTGCATAAACAGATGTAAGTTCTTCATGATGCAAAATGAGTTACAGCTGTTTTGCGCCAAACCCACGATATGACCTAGTATTACCAAAAAAAAATGTTAAACCCGATCTTTTCAGAGAGAAATTTTGGGGACATCAAGGTGAAAATCTAAGGTTGGTCAGCCAAATGTATAGAGCCTGGTCAGGTTGCACGGGTATTGTAGGCTGGCCTGTGACTATATTCAATCACTTTCCTTACCAGCAGCGTATTCGCTAAGCTGGCTGGATAGAATTTCATAGGAAGGTGAAATATCTTACAAAATCATTTGTTTTCTTATGCAAAAAAAAGATATATAGTCTAACTCTGTATAATCGGCGCAACTATATTACCAACATACTCTCAGTATTTTGACATGTGCGGTCATGTATACAGTGAAGTTAAAAATCTTTGACCTCATTCAATAAAAAATGTAATGATTAGTCGAATTGGTTCTGTTTCACACAAATTATTAATTATTATAATTATTCATTAAATTCAATGTACACAAATAGGAAACATTAAGTACGCTGATAATACGCAGTCCGATGCTATACATGTATTATATAGTGGCTCCTTTTCTTTTAGATGCTACAGGTCAAGTGGTACTGTGTTTATTAATTTTTTCTTATCAAGTTTGTGGTTAAAGGCTCTTTTGTTCCAAAACAAGGTCATAGTGCTGATGAGAGAAACTTCTCTATAATTAAAATGTAGTTCTATAGTAATGTATAGTTACAAAATTTGAACTGTCATTTAATTAAGTGCAGTCCAAAGTCCATAAAAAAGGTTTTGGTTTTTTTTTGGTTTCTTTTCTTTTTTATGAAAATAAGTTATGAATTAAATCTAACAATAAACAAGTTAACAAATTGTTGACTTATCAACTGAAATGTTCAGAGGAAATTAGGACTAATCAAGGTGCACCTTCCCTTTGTGGCTGAGGGGTTGCCTTTACGGGTTGAGGCATCAAAATTGCAGCCACCATTTAACCCTGTGTGATTGTTAGAAGTCAATAAATTGGCTCGAATTTTTGGAATCTATGCATCCCTTAGCTCCAGCAGATGAGGTTGTTTTGACCTCTGGTGTTGCTTCGAAAGTTGTAACACCCGAGGTTTGTCAAAATTATCTTTCCTGTTTAGGCACCATATGACCTCAACTGTGTTGGTGTGCTGTTAAACCAAACCAAACAAAAAACAAACTCTAGGTGCACCTCGTATTATTACAAGATTAGGCAAGCACTAGATTAGAACCATTGTGCTTTACTAAACTTATCTTACATGAAATGATTCAAAGTGCCGTGATGGGGGTCAATTCTAAAATGGTGTGGGGCTAGTGATTCCAAGTAAAAAACCTTAACCACTTATTTTAAGGTGTAAGCAGACACCTGAATAGAACCACTATCATTCTGTTAGTTGGCTGGATTATAGCTCCTTTATACGAAATAATCTTAAATTGAGTTAAACTACTAGACCAATAATGTCCCTGTTTCACAATTTATAACAAATGAATATGTTAAAACTAACCTTTTTTGTAATGGTACATAGTACAGGTACGGTAATTATATTGTGTTTTAGTACTTGAAAAAAGATAAATTTAAATGACTACACTTGTCAAATACAGGAAAACAGATAAAAGTTGATAGTGATGTTTCTGTTAGCACTTTGATTTGGTTATTTCTCTCTTTTACAATCTACACAGAGATTTGGTGGTTAACTAAGTTAAGAAGGTAACTCCTCTAGACTCACCTGAAAATTTGGTTGTACCATAGATCCCCATTTTGATAGGGAATATAAATTAAGTTATCTCCCAAGTGTAAAGAAATACAGTGTAATCATTGCAGAACAGCCCTATAGAGACCAATAAGCTCTTTGCAACAGCAATATCAATTCTTCCCTTTGCAAGACTTTACAACATTATTTAATTTCTACGGAGCAGTACCTCTGAACAACAATCAAAGTTTTTTGTTTCCCAAAGGACATAAATCATCTCCAGGACGCCAGCAGGACAGACACCTTATTTCCGGGACAGTCCCGGATGTCAGGGACATTATGGCATGTGTGACAAAGATTGTTGCTTTGCAGAGATTATACTGTAGTTGTTGTGATCCTTACCATTTTTACACTTTTGGGAAAATTGTGGCCAGTTTATGTCTGCAATTACATGTAATTATATTGTGAAAAAGAATAAAATTTCAAACATTGTTGTATATGGTGCTATTTTCTTATTTGATTTCGCAGACATGGAACCAGATGTGCTGGGGAGGTTTCTGCCAAGGCAAACAATACAAAATGTGTGGTGGGCGTGGCTTATAACTCTAAAATTGGAGGTAATGAATTATTCAAAACATCGTATTATATTTCATTATATACTTATAAATGAAATATTGATTAAATGAAAGGCATTTTTTCATTTTCTGTATTTTTACTATAAAACTTAGTTTTTCACTGCAATAAAATATATTTTCCATATTTTCACTAATGTCTTGCCGGACTACATGTACTTTCTGCTAAATTCAGCCAATACACAAAATTTAAGGGGAAATTTTCAAAATTGTAATGTCAAAAAAGAGAAAAATGTAAACAATATACAAAAAAAATCAAGTTTTTTTATAACTACAAAATTTATTTTCATCTTGTGGTATGAAAATTATCCTATTTCACTTGTGGAAACTGCCACTCATGAAATATATATTTTCATAGCACTTGGTGAAAATAAATCCTGTATTTATAGAAAAAAACTTAAATAGTATCCTCTAAATGAATATGAAACGAAGAAGAAAGAAATATTTACATGCATATTATTGCCAGGAAGCATTTTACATTGAAAACAATAAATAGCATGAATGTTATTGTGAGACAGCATGTTAAATTTGTGTTTTTGTAAAATGTAGATTTATTTGGTCATTAAGGCATGTGAAGAAAAGCTGTTCACTGAGTTTCATGTTATCCTGACATGTAATTTTGTAGAATCTGTGAAAGCTAATCGTGTGTGTGTGTGTGCATGCATGTGCATGAAAAAGTAAGCAAACATTCGCCCTGGCCCCATATGCATGAGTAGCCATTGGTTTTCTTTTTACTTTCAGCAGTATATATCAGTATGTCAGTCATACACTGTCCTGACAGTGACCTGATAGGTCTTTCTAGATTTTATTTTTCAGTGATTACCTCTACATTCTCCACAAGTAATTATTAACTCTCCTATAATGCAAATGAACAGCAGAGGATAAATGCCTATACAAATATTTCCTTGAATGTGTCACAGACAAACAATAGATAGTCTGTGATAAGTTTTATGTATATGTATATGACTAGTCTGTGATCACTATATAATACTATATATATATATATATATTACGTGATATAACTTGATTGTGATGGAAAGCTTGAAATTTATTTGGGCCATGCTCTCTCAAGTCTGGTTTATGGAAATGACACAGTTTAGGTTTCATATGTAGAAACATGGTCTAAAGTCTAGGAGGGCTCAAACCAAATATCCCTGTGATTGTGACTGGAATTCTTTTATTTTTCTTCGTCATCATAATAAAGTGCATACTTACCTAGAGTACCTATTTACCAGATATTAAAAGATTTCATAAACCAAATGTTAATAAAGATTTCCGTATTGAATATTTTAGGTGTTCGTATGTTAGATGGTGATGTGTACGATGCCGTCGAAGCAACGTCTCTCAGTCATAATCGTAGTCACATTGATATTTACTCTGCCAGCTGGGGACCGGACGACGACGGTCGAGTGGTCGACGGACCGGGACAGCTGGCAAAAAAGGCGTTCATGGATGGAGTTAGATTGGTATAAATATTTATTATTGTTTTTATAGGAAGACTGCTTGGTCATTATTAGATTCTGGGGATTTAGGACACATTGTTGTTGATTTGTAATGAAGTACATACTTGCTTGCGATTTCAGTGTTCAAAATAAAGTAGACCAAAGCCCCTGTTAACTGTATGTAAATCATATTTTTGGCCATTCTATATTCATCTTACTTAGGTTTTCTAAAATATACGTAGAAATTTCATTTCTTAAATTCATACTAAATATTCATGTTTAAAATTTATGTGAAATATTATATCTAAATTCATGTAAAAAAATTAATGAGAACAAATTTTGTTTTTATAATTTATTTGAAAAGGATTATGTATAACTTACTTTGACTTTTGAGTAGGAACAATGCAGTGCTGTATCAAGAAACCATGTGGCTATGAGGCTAAGAATCATGGGTTCAAATTTTTGAAAAAGAAAATGTTGAAAACCATGTTTCCTTTCCAAGACTGGTATTGATTTGTCCAGAAAGTGGACTGTTACGCAAATAAGATAAAAAAAAATGGCTGATCTGTATAAACCGAGTAAAACAGATTGGTTTTAACAAAAAACAACAGTACTGTATACTTAATCTGAGATTGAAATATCACTGTTTTAGTCAATTGCATTGGACATGATGTGAATTGACATGTAGGGAAGTTGTTGAACACATGTAAAGAATCATTTCATATGACTTTATAATTACATATCAAGTCACATGACTTTATAATTATAGATCAAGTCACATGACTGATAATTATAAACATGTGTAAAGAATCAAGTCACATGACTAAATGATTATTTTAAACAAGACACACAACTTTATTTTTACAAACACTTGTAAAGAATCAAGATACATGATTTTATGATTATAAAGGAGAAAATGGTGAATACACATGTATTTTGAATATTGCTGATTATCATGCTTTGAGTGTACAAAATTTTAGGGACGGAATGGGAAAGGATCTATATTTGTGTGGGCGTCGGGAAACGGTGGCAACCAGAAAGATAGTTGTAACTGTGACGGTTACACAAATAGTATATTTACCCTGTCAATTAGTAGTATATCGCAACAAGGCAAGAAGCCATGGTACCTGGAGGAGTGTTCCTCGACACTCGCCACCACGTACAGTAGCGGAACTTACAGCGAGAAACAGATTGTAAGTGGCGTAGGCGACACAAAATCTTGCGTGTTACGTTGTTTGTGCTATACTGGATTACATAAGGATTTGGAGATATGGAAATCACAATGAAGAAGAAAATATGACATTTTGCGTAGAGATTAGTGCTTTGTTAAATTGATTCACACCAATTTTTTTTCTCACTTTTTTCAATGTTTCTGGTTTTTAAAATTCACTCGACTGTTAAGAATAAGAACAGAATTTTCGTGGCATTTTTGTGCTTTCCAATGTTTCCAAAACTTATGTAAACCAGTGTAAGTGTTGTCAGAAGAAAATTTTGTTTTGTCATAGAATATTGTATACATGTTTCATATCCAACAGGGTCGTAATGGCAAAGGTGCAATATTTGTCTGGGCGAGCGGAAATGGTGGGCGGCAACACGATAGCTGTAGTTGCGATGGGTACACAAATAGCATATACACACTGAGCATTAGCGGTGTTTCTCAGCGCATAACTAAGCCATTTTATCTTGAAGAATGCGCATCCACTCTCGCCACAACATTTTCAAGTGGTGGGGGTGCTGAGAAAAAGATCGTAAGTTCGAAACCCTGCACTGTCGTCGGCAGGTTGTGGGTCTTCACGGGTTGCTATAAAAATCTACTTCTCTAATCTGTGTTTCCTTTTCGCTGTTTTTTATAATCAGTTGTACATTATAACATTCTCACCTGTTAATAAATTAACTATTTTTCCGTCACTTTTGCTAACAAAAAAAAATTTTCACCTAACACACAGAGCAATTTCCCTAATGTATCCAGTACTATAATATAATAGTAAATTATAGTAGTATAATTTATTTTTGAATAGTATATAGTGATTATTTATAGATATTTCTTGGTTTATAGAGAGTGGGAAAGAATTCTAGACTTTTTAATGCAGCTTTTTCCTTGTGGGATAACTTCTTGAGATGATTCTTACAGATTTTTGATAGAATTTAAGTTAGAATTTTAGACCAGAAATAAAGGATTTTGTACATTCTTTGCAAGTTAAATTAAGATACTGTAATGGTATTTATGTTAAGAATTTTGCATTTTTGCATTATGTTCTTTGAAAAGAAAAAAAAGCTTATTTAACATGTAATCGGTCTAGATTATAGCTAAATATAATCAGTTTTATAAATATTTTAATCAGTAATCAAATTAGGATTGAAGTTAAACTAGAATACTATTGTAACTCATTTATTTAAATTTTAATCCTGAAACCCCTATATTTATTTTATAGAAAATGTTCAGCTTTTAATTTGGAACAGCCTATTGTAACTACTGAATTTATGAGACGGATTTGCCCAGCTTTTAATTTGGAACAGCCCGTTCATTATCTTAGTAACTCTAAAATTGAGCTTTCCAAAAGTATAGAGCCTGGTCAAACTGCAATAAAAGTGCAGGCTGGCCTGGCTCTGTACTGGTGGCAATGGCCAATCATTAATGATTTCAGTAGGTTAAAGCAGTATGCCTTCAGATGATCCAAAATATTTCAAGAAAAATCAAACTTGAGAAAAATGTACTGAAATTGTAAGAATTCAAGTAATAATTTACATTGTTATGTGCAATAAATGACTGATTTTGAAGTATTTATCCCCATATTTCTATGGCAATTGTCACGCAGTAAGGGCTATTTTTGCATATTTTGAGGTCCTTTTTGGTAATTTACAGGATTTTAAATGCCATTTGCAATGTGCAAATTGTATTTTGTGTTCACTTTTAAACAAAAGTTTGTATGAATTTGGAGGCATGCTTCTTTAAACGGATTTTTCAGTATCAAAACACTAAAATTTCACTAGCAAGCAACAGTGTAAAGAATTACCAGATTGCGTGGAATGACTATATATATATATATGACATAAAAAGTGAATATGTAATAGCTAAAAACAGTCAGAGAATTAAGGATTGAGTTACAACAGTATTCTTATGAACCTACATTGTACCAAAAAATATATAAGAATATTGCATAGTTTATACTGGGCATCTTTGGTCAGCCATATATATGTTAAAATTATAATTGTATTGACACGGTGGCTTAGTCATTTAAGAGTCACTGGCATTGAAGCAGATGGCCTAGACTACTTGTTTTATCATTCAAAAAATATTAGCCAAATACTTTAATGTACAAAAGCTATTTATACTTTTAATAATTAACCTTAATAAATGAAAATCACTATAAGGAAGAATGGGTCAATGACAGATCAAGGGGTGAATTTTAAGCACTGTCTTGAAAGAACTTTAAAATGAAAAAAAACATTGTTACATAGCACCATTGAGATGTCATAATTTGTTGCCATTTCTCCAACAGCAACTATAATTGAATGTTTCAAAACTGACTCTTTGCATTGCTCTTGCATCTATCATCACAAACTCTTAAGTCATTACCTTAGTGCAATAACTGGTTAACTTCTATTAAATTTAGAAGGATTTAACCCATTACTGCACTATGGTGTCAAATTATAGCATTTGTCAGATTTTCTTCTACAGCATCTGTTACAGGCTGATACTGCTTGCGTTCTCAGTTTCAACAATATTGCATTGCTAAATGATAACATATAATCCGCAACCAGGAAGTGTACTGGTAAAGCTTGGGCCACTTCAAGTCTGTATCCACTCTTCCACTTGTTTTGTTAAGTCTGAATGAGATTCCTGATTCTCTGGAAAACCGATTCCTGGATTCTTGACCTGGCATTCCAGTTGCTTCCACAGGAATTCCTGTCATCTCTTGTTCCAGAATTACTGATTCTTGCTCTGGAATTACTGATTCTTGCTCTGGAATTTCTAAATCTTTTAATAATAGAATATAATGTTAATATGGAATACAAATTGTAATGTTTATGAGAAATATAAAATATGTTTATGAGGAACACAACATATAATGTTTATGAGGAATATAAAATATAATGTTTATGAGAAACACAACATATAATGTTTATGAGGAATATAAAATATAATGTTTATGAGAAACACAACATATAATGTTTATGAGGAATATAAAATATAATGCTTATGAGGAATACAACATATAATGTTTATGAGGAATATAAAATATAATGTTTATGAGAAACACAACATATAATGTTTATGAGGAATATAAAATGTAATGCTTATGAGGAATACAACATATAATGTTTATGAGGAATATAAAATATGTTTATGAGGAACACAACATATAACATTTATGAGGAATACAAAATGTAATGTTTATGAGGAATTCACTAACTTCTTTATGAGGAAAGTAAAAACTGTAGAAATGAAATAAAATTATTTGTCTAAAGTTACAATAAGTTTTCCTTCTTTTCCTTTCTATCCTGATAAGACCTAATTTTTTCCTTCTACAATGTGATTTTCCCTTTACAATTTTGCTTTTCCTTCTGCTAAGGACTCTGTCCCTTTTCTTCCTAAATATGAAAGAGGCACAGAATTTATGAATTGATCTTTTCTGTGGTGGTATGGTTTTAAAATGCTGATTTCATAGTGAGTGTATTTGTTTTTCCCTAAATTTTTCTTTAAATCTTGCACTGGGGGTGAGTCAAGGTGATGTTCTGCCTTGCATGTTATTTGATCTATTTAAAAAAAATTTTTCAGAATCTGATATTTCTTCTCTTGAAAGGTTGGTGTGTGTACGTGTGTGTGTGTGAAGTGAAATAATTTGTTGTGAAAATTGAAAAGGTGACTGGAATACTTGTATTTAATTTTGTTATGAGCACAATATGGGACAATGAGATTTTTAGAAAAAAATTGCTTTTAATATTTTGATTTGTAATAGTAAATAGTCATGATGAGCATTTATGTTGAATTAATGTGAAATACCTTAATATACACATAGACTAGCGTTGTTTTTAATTTGCAGGCTTGTATTTGAGGTTTGGATATTCTGGTAGTACAAACATTTGTTCATAGAAAATATTTTCTTTTTTCAGGAAAAATTTAATATGTAATTTATTCTAGGTTAAATGGGTCACATCTTACTTTAAGTTAAAAAAGTGTCCTTAAAATATATTTGTTTGTAGTATATAAGATATTTATTCTGAATGAAACTGTAAAAAAGATTTTGAAGGAACTCCACTGAGGTCCAAAAAGCCTGAAAACTTAAAATTTGATTATCTTTCATGTATCAACTTAGGCATTTTAAACTGAAAACTATGCACAAAGAAATGAAGTAGTACACTCAGAATTGCATTGAAAGTCACAATGTGTGTGTAATTCTTAGCGTGATTTTAATTAAAAGTGTTTAAAAGCTTGACATTTTGCGTCAGTTTCCACAATTTTAATAATTATCACAGAAAAACAGAGTGAGCGAACGATCTAAAGTTTTGATTTAAAGTTGTTTTTTTCTATATCTACAATAAATGTTACACAAATCACCCCAAAAATTATCCTGTCCAGTCATGTTTAAAAACCTCAGTGGAGTTCCTTTAATGAAACCTCAGTGGAGTCCCTTTAATGAAACCTCAGTTGAGTCCCTTTAATGAAACTTCAGTGGAGTCCCTTTAATGAAACCTCAGTGGAGTCCCGTTAATGAAATCACCACATCTTGTTCCTTATACTCTGTTGCTTACTTTATATGATGGCAAAACCTGATCTTGTAATATTAAAAGATATAAGCATTGCTTATTGCAAACTAGCCAATCAGAATTCTTGCTTAATTTGCCAATAAGCATATTTGCTTTTAAGTATAAGTAACAAATATATTTTGTATATATAAGAGTATCAAATAATATCTGCAAATTTATGTACAATAGTTAAATGTTTTATATTACTAACAATTTTTTTTTCTGTTGATACCAACCCTGGTTCAAAGTGTAAAATGTGGTATTTGTTGGCAGATAGTAATGAAATAATTGCTCTAAAAGATAAATTGATTAGTGATTTTTATTGACAGGTATTGTAAGTATAGAGATTATTTTGCAGTGATCTTTAGAAGTCTTGAATATAACGGGAAGTTATTATTCATAATTACTTATAATAGGGAATAATTTTACACATTTTGTCATGTATGAAGGTATAAGATAAAAATACAGACAGACCTGTCTTAAGGAGCACTTTTGTATAAAGTTCATTGATCACATTCTGAAAAAAGGGTAAAGCTGACCTGGTAGAATATCAAGATTATTTAAAAAGAAAACAAATTTGTACAAGTTCATTGTCTTGTAAATTTCCATGCTCGGGAGTTTGTAATATTAAAAGATATAAGTGTAACTGTTACTTAATGCAAATTTTTAATACATTTAGTATAAGAAAACATGAGCAGATATTCAACTGCTGCATTTGTGTAAAGAATTGCCTTAAATTTGGAACAGTCCATTCAAAGTTTAAAACTGCATTCCTCCAGATAAGCCAAAATATTTTATAATTAAGTTTTGTGTCTCGGGTAAGGTGACTGTCAGGCTTCTTCCAAAGAAATTTGCAACATTTTCTGACTGAGCACTAACAATATTATTATAGAACTTATTTTCAGAAAATGTTACAAATAATCCCTTTTAGTGCAGCTTTCTAGCTGTTGAACAAGTTCATAATGATTGTCTTAATGGAAATGAGATATGTTTTTTGGTTGCCTAGGTTACCGTTGATCTTCACAACAAGTGCACAGAGACTCATACAGGAACCTCAGCATCGGCACCACTGGCAGCTGGTATCATTGCCCTCATATTAGAAGTCAAGTAAGTTCTTTCATAGAAGTCAAATAAGTGTTGCCAAAAGTCAAGAAAGTGATCTAAAAAAAAAGCTCTAATATTAGAAGTCGAGTAAGTGCTCTAATAGTAGAAGTAAAGGAAGTGATTAAATGTAAAAAGCTCTAATATTAGAAGTCAAGTAATTACACTAATATAAGAAGTCGAGTAAGTGCTCTTATATAAGAAGTAAAGTAAGTGATTAAATATAAAAAGCTGTAATATTAGAAGTCAAGTAATTGCTCTAATATAAGTCATCTGGTAAGTGCTCTTATATTAGAAGTCTTGTTAATGCTATAATTATTATAAATAAAGGAAGTGCACTAATATTAGAAGTCTTGTTAATGCTATAATTATTATAAATAAAGGAAGTGCTCTTATATTAGAAGTCTTGTTAATGCTATAATTATTATGAATAAAGGAAGTGCTCTTATATTAGAAGTCTTTTTAATGCTATAATTATTATAAATAAAGGAAGTGCACTAATATTAGAAGTCTTGTTAATGCTATAACTATTATAAATAAAAGAAGTGCTCTTATATTAGAAGTCTTGTTAATGCTATAATTATTATGAATAAAGGAAGTGCTCTTATATTAGAAGTCTTGTTAATGCTTTAATTATTATAAATAAAGGAAGTGCACTAATATTAGAAGTTTCTTATAATAGAAATGGAATACTCTTATATTAGAAGTCAGGTGCTAATCCATGTTACTTTAACAAACACAAAAAATCAAAGTTTGTTGGTGCATTACAAGTACTATTGTTTATATTTCAGTCCATCACTGACATGGAGAGATGTGCAGTATATAACGCTGATGACCGCCAGACCCTTGCCTGATGGTCAATGGGTGACGAATGGAGTGGGCAGACAAGGTAATTTAATCTTGTAAAAATAAAAAGAATAGTGCATGGTTCAAATAAACTCTATAGTTATGGACAATATGGGTGGTCCTGGTCAAAAGGATTTGGAAACATTTCAAAGAACTGTATATAGTATCTTAATGTTTCATATATCAAACTTGTACTTAGAAAATGTAACTATCATATCCCTTTGTCTTTGTTAGTCACTGAATATCTAAGAGCAAGGTAATTTCTGTAAGTGGCATAAGCCCATCAATATAGCTGCTATTTTCAAATTATTAAACTATTTCTATTGTAGTAAAGCAGCTAGTGTTCAGAGTTAGAATATTTCTATTGTGGCATATGCAATGAAGCAGCTAGTTTTCTAAGCTTTAACATATTGTTTCAGTGAGTTTGAGATATGGGTATGGTTTAATGGATGCTACAGCTATGGTTGAGTTGGCAGAGAAATGGACTGTAGTGCCTACACAACATATCTGTGAGGTACAGTCAGGGAGGGTCAGTGTGGAAAAGAACAAAATGTAAGACTTTTTCTTCAATCACATGTAACATTTTTGGGGTCAGATTTTCAATAATTTTTTAATATGATTATTAGAAATTTTAAGGAGCTGGGAACCACCAGATTTAATAACTCTTGCTATACTGGCATGCGAGCAGTTCCCGTACAGAAGCAGTACCCGTATTTTTCATTTAAACGCTTGATTTTTACTTGCATTCATCAAAAATTCATTTCAAATCAAGCAGATACATAAACGAGACAAAATCTAAGTGTCAGTTCGGCAGTACGTATATAAAGTCTCATTTTAAATCACTTTCACCTGTGCGTCGTCAAAAACGTGACCTTGTTTTCTCTGGGGGATTCCGTCCTTGCGCGCATGCGCAAAAATACTTACACGTGAGGCTTGTTAAAGGGTTTTTTCCACTAATACCACCTGTTTACAAATAAGTAGGCAATGTGATGAAAAACTTGTTTAATTAGCAGAATGTTGACCAATATTACTATATATAATAATTTTATGGCTTTGATGCGTAAAATATCATGCATACAAGCATGCTATTGCCTGTAAATGCGTTGGGGTAACGGTACCGGGTAATAGATACCCGCGTTTAGTCACCGCTCTATTTCCCTGAATTACATCTATTTTATCTTTTAGATAATGGTCTGTTCAACAATTGTAAATGAAAAAATAGGTCCGATATAATAAAAATTGTATAATTATAATGGGTTAGATTTTATGTACGGGAACTACTTCTCTTCATACAAAATAATTGATAATTTCGGTACCCCCATATGAGGCCTCATAACTAAGGGTTATTCTATGTTTAGAACATGATGGAATTTCCATGATTTGTGTGACGAGCTGAATATTGGTGTGTAACATTCAAATTTTGGTGAGTGAGCGTAATAAAAAATAATGTTTAAGTAACTACGATTTTTGTACGGGAACTGCTCGCATGCCAGTACACAGTGATAAAACATTATTATTGTTATTTGACGTGTTACAGCACAATTCCTGACTCGGGATACGAGGAGATGTTGGACACGGACGCATGTGCCGGAAACACCAACGAAATTAACTTTCTCGAGCATGTACAAGCTAAAATAACTTTGAAAAGTAAGCGTCGTGGAGACATTGTCATTCATCTGACCTCACCATCTGGCACGAGATCAACTATTCTGCCACAGAGACCAAATGATGGAGACAGGTTAGTATTTAGTTTGATATTGTGCTTAAGAGATTAGTCAATATGTTTCAAGTTAAAGATATACTATGCTCATCCTTGAGTAAAATATTTAGATCACAGAAATTTATTGAAATCTATGAAATTCTTACTGAATATGTCTAAATTTGAATTTAAAAATGAATAAACTATGTATAGGAAGCTGAGTTACATATTTCAGGTCAACTATAATTGGTCCTTTCTTAAAAAAAACTGCCAGTTTTATTAATGTCACTATACATTCATATTGTGATCACATGTAGTGTGTAGAGTTTAAACATAACATATCTACTTTGTGTAAGGAATTGATGATGTAAATGAAAGACATGTTGTTGACTTTAACAAAAATTTATATGGTGAATATTTCATTAAATTTTTGATAGATAGTAATTGCTGTATTTTAAATGGGAGAAACTATACCACAAATGATTTTACGTTTGTCTCGACTCAGGGGAAATCTGTAGTAGACTACATTATTATTCCTTATGAACATCTTGATAACTACCAAGAATTTAATGCTATTAGACCTACTGAACTACTAAGCAGAAATGTATCTGAACTAGGTATAGAACCTCGTATTATACCGGATCATTCTGTTATTTCATGTATTTGTAAAATAAGTCAATTGAATAATATATATAGAGGTTGTAGTGATAATGGGTAAAGTCAGAATGTGTTTATATTTACTATGAGACTGTGTAGTAATTATCAATATTTTCTCAATTGAAATTTGAGCATTGTATATCTTTAAGCCAATTATAGTGGGTGTCTTTATAAAGTTTATTATAAATTTGAATGAGATCTGATTCTGATAAGCTTTACACTATGCCCGTCGTAAACAAACTGAATGCTCAAGTTTGCTATTGCATAATGTAAATGGTTAGAAAAAGGGAAAAGAAATGTTTACATTACATGGCAAATGATGTCAAAGATGTGATGTCAATGAATCATATGATGTCATGAAAATTACTTCTCCACTCAATGCATGAGTAGTTCATCTTTTTGTAGTGAATTTCTTGTCAGAATGGAAATTGTTATCAATTTTTCTTCTGTTGAACATGTAGTACAAAAATGCATGGTCTATCGTTCAAATGCTTTGTAAGCTATGACTCAGATTTACGAGCCTTTGTGATAATTCTACAGCACATTTTAACTTGAACTATGTATAATTATGTCTCCCCCACCTCGGGGGGAGACATATTGTTTTTGCCCTGTCCGTCCGTCCGTCCGTCCGTCAGTCCGTCCGTCCATTCTTCGTTTCCGGACGATAACTAGAGTTCCTTTTGACCTACAGCTCTCAAACTTCATAGGATGAATGGTCTTATTGAGCAGATGATCCCTATTGTTTTTGGGGTCAGTAGTTCAAAGGTCAAGGTCACAGTGACCGTTGGTCAATTTCTCGTTTCCGGATGATAACTAGAGTTCCTTTTGACCAAAAGCCCTCAAACTTCATAGGATGATTGGTCTTATAGAGCTGATGATCCCTATTGTTTTTGGGGTCAGTAGGTCAAGGTCAAGGTCACACTGACCGTTGGTCAATTTCTCGTTTCCGGATGATAACTAGAGTTCCTTTAGACCTACAGACCTCAAACTTCATAGGATGATTGGTCTTATAGAGCTGATGATCCCTATTGTTTTTGGGGTCAGTAGGTCAAAGGTCAAGGTCACACTGACCGTTGGTCAATTTCTCGTTTCCGGATGATAACTAGAGTTCCTTTAGACCTACAGACCTCAAACTTCATAGGATGATTGGTCTTATTGAGCAGATGATCCCTATTGTTTTTGGGGTCAGTAGTTCAAAGGTCAAGGTCACAGTGACCGTTGGTCAATTTCTCGTTTCCGGATGATAACTAGAGTTCCTTTTGACCTACAGCCCTCAAACTTCATAGGATGATTGGTCTTATAGAGCAGATGATCCCTATTGTTTTGGGGTCAGTAGGTCAAAGGTCAAGGTCACAGTGACCGTTGGTCAATTTCTCATTTCCGGATGATAACTAGAGTTCCTTTTGACCTACAACCCTCAAACTTCATAGGATGATTGTCTTATTAATCAAATGATCCCTATTGTTTTAATGGTCAGTAGGTCAAAGGTCAAGGTCACAGCGACCGTTGGTTAATTTCTCCTTTCCGGATGATAACTAGAGTTCCTTTAGACCTACAACCCTCAAACTTCATAGGATGATTGGTCTTATTGAGCAGATGATCCCTCTTGTTTATGGGGTCAGTAGGTCAAAGGTTAAGGTCACAGTGACCATTGGTCATTTTCTCATTTCCACAGTGGGGGAGACATGCGCTTTTTTACAAAAGCATCCTCTAGTTCTACAATAACATGCTTGAAATTTAATATCTACATGACTGTAGATCTTGTATTTCCTTGTTTATTTTAGAGTCTGGTAATAATGTGTCATGCCCATCTGGTGTGTGAAAATTATCTACTAGTGAAAGTGTCTGCTGCCAGACTTGTTTGACAATGTAATTTGTCAAGTTTGTATGTTGGATAATTTATTTCTGTGAAATGACACTTAAATTGTGATGATATTGTGATGATATTCAAGGCGGAATTTGAGCCGCATCATGACAAAACCAACGTTATGCATTTGCAACCAGCATGGATCCAGACCAGCCTGCGCATCCGCGCTGTCTGATCAGGATTCATGCTGTTGGCTTACAAACCTTTTAACAAGTAGAGAAACTGATAGCGAACAGCATGGATCCTGATCAGACTCCGTGGATGTGCAGGCTGGTCTGGATCCATGCTGGTCGCAAACCCATTATGTTGGTTTTGTCGTGACGCGGCTCATTTTTATTTGTTTTGTTTTACAGAGTGAAAGGTTTCAATAATTGGCAGTTCTTGTCTGTGCATTTCTGGGGGGAGAATCCTGTTGGCCGATGGAAACTAGAAATAGAGGTACAGAAAAACAGCCGTGGCTACATCGGTGGAAGTAGTTATTCCGGTACGTAAAATATCCCTCTGATAAAGAAAGCAAGTGATTTTTTTTCTTATGTGTATAAATGTATAGTGTTAAATGAATGAAGTCACAAATCTGTGAAAGGTAATGTATATCCTGGTCTTAGTGGTTAAAAAATGTATACTTTGTTGATTTGCAACCATTTATAGAGCCAGACCAGCCTGCACATTAGTGCAGTCTCTATACTAGTGTTGGTAGCTCAATTTGAAACTGAAATCTCTTAAACTTTCAATGGACTCTTCCAAAATTAAAGTTTGGCAAATCCATTTCACAAATTAAGGAGGTTAAAGGTTAATTATTACTTTTTTTCACAGGTTTACAATCTACCAATGACCTGATTGACTGGAATTTGAGTCTGTATGGAACAGAGGAGAATCCTGTGAACCTAGTGAACCCGACGCCTCCTACTGGCCCAACTAAACCAGTTTCCCCAACAACAAAGGGGGTAAGTTTCATATCACTGAGATCTTAGATCAGATTTCTTTTGATTTTTTAAGTTTGCTTAATATGATTGCTTGATAAAACCTGTAAACTTTTACTTTTTGCAGTATTGTATTTTTACCAATAACAGAATATTAATATTTTCTTATGGGATATAACTAAGGCATCAGAGTAAGATGTTCTATGCTACGCTAACTGAAGCATCTTTTACACAGATTGATTCAATACTTTCTCTTTTTTTGCACTTTGTCTGATGCAAAGGAAGGTTGGTGGTTCAACTGAGGTCCCTGCTTGTGTCTGAAATCATGCACAGAGGGACCAGGAGGTCTGTCTTCCTTCACCAGTAAAGCAGGAAAGTTGCTGTATAGCCTTTACAGTGCTAGTGTGACTTAAAACTCCAACAAAATAAACGAGCAAACAAAATCTGGTCAAAATCCATCCAATTATTACAAAAATAATCAGTAAAAAAAAATTCTCAAGAGTGATTCCCACATGTTTATGGACTTATAATACCATAAGAATTGGTCACTCAAATGAAGCTTAATTAAAAAGGTTATAATAAAAAAAGATAAGAAAACAATTTCAAATGATATTCTTGGCAAGTAAAATAATTTACTACTACAAATTGTTTTAAATAGTCTTACAGTCTAATAATTTTAGTAACACTTCTGTATACAGTGTAGTACTGTTTGCAAACTCCTGTAGACTAATTTTGTAAATTGCACATAAAACACTTGTTCTATGAAAGAACTAGAAAAAGTATCGAAACACAAGGGTATCTGATTTGTATCACGAGGCTTGTGCCAAGTATAAATCAGATCAGTAACTGTTTTGATGTTATTTCTCTTTGATATCATAGGCAAAAATAAAAACATGTTCCCTGTCATCAAAATATGAAACCACAGATTAAATGAGCCAATGCATGCGGATCTGATTATGATCCTTTTCCATGTTATCATGATAAGTAAACCCTACAAAAAAAATGTAGCTAATCAATGATCATGCTATATTTTAATCCTGACAGACAGTGTGGTTAAACTGGAGTGTGAGTAACTAATACCTGCACTCCAGTAAACTCACTGTGCAACTGTGCATTTTTTGTATACAATTTAACACTGATACATTTTCAAGAGAAAGGTCCCCAAACTTATAATGATACAAGAAAGGAATAGTATAAAGGGTTCAATATAAAACTGTCATCAATGTCAGTTTTTTTTTTGCCATTGTAATAACAAAACCTTTTTATTTAACTTTTTAAAGGCCATATCATAACGGATCCTTTGTATTAAGGTATTTATAGGCCGTTTTTATAGCTTAGCTATTTACAGGCCTTTGTCATAACCAAACCTTTGTATTGAGTTATTTATAGGCCTTTTTCCACACGAAACCTTTGTTTTTTAGCTATTTTTAGGCCATTTCCATAACAAAACCTTTGTTTTAGCTATTTTTAGGCCTTTTTCATAACAAAACTATAGTATTAGCTATTTTTCGATCTTTTTCATAACAAAACCTTTGTTTTAGCTACTTTTCAGCCTTTTTCATAACAAAACCTTTATTTTTAGTTAATTGAATTTATTGTAGATTAATATAGGACAAATCATTTGGTGGGAACCTTTATAATTTAATTTAATCTTTCGTTTTTAACTTATTTCTTTCTACAGGCATCGGATGACCTAAACGGCCCTAAAACGGACAATTCTTTCCTGGATAGTGTTTATAGCATTCTTATCCCTGGGCTATCTCATAAACATAAACAAAAAGGCCATCCTATGCTTAGAAGGCCTTGAGAGCAAAATTCATACAAAAAAGACACTTTAATGATGTATTAGAATATCCCACCAAACTTAACATTTTATGTACTTAGAGTGTTTTCTTTCTACAAATTTTCTATGCTTAAGTCTTCACTATATTATGATATATATATATCCCACCAATTTTAACTTTTATGTACTTAAGGTGACAACAGACACTTTCCGTGGTACTCACATAAATGTAATTTAAACCAAGTTATTTTAGTAATAATTGTTATTTATTTAATCTTTATGCATTAAATGTCGCTGATCAGCATAAAAAATAACATATTTGAAAAAAAATGCTTTTGTAAATGATTGATTTTGAATAAAAATCCTAAAATTTTAAATCGTCATATCAAAGTCATTTTTTATTTTTTTGTCATCAAACTTTTGGAAAATAACCTTACTTATATTATCTGGGGAACAGTGTCTCAAATGTTTTCTATCTTTTCTCAAAAAAAATATTACGTAACGTCAAACATTTTATGCGACTTTTTTCACCATACATATTACGTAATTCAAGATAATTAAGTCGCTGATTGAGCAAACAAAAATCCCTGACACGGTTCCCTCCGTAAATGAATTTCCTTTCATGTGCTTTAAACCGCATGTTAATTGCTTGATTATTAAAAAAGTTATGCCGATTCAAAGTTAGTCCGACCCGCATCAAACGAAGTGTCATAAATCGGCTGTTCTCTCTCGGACCCCTACGTTTCACGCTAAATAATTGCATAATACACAAATATCGCACCAGAGAGAGTCACAAGTTGCGGTAACATACTCTAACAACATTTTATGACCCAGTTACATCTGACCAATTAAAAAGCTGCTGATTAATATCAGTTTATAGCCGAAATTTCTTCAATTCTTAACGTGATTTACTGTTCGTCTGGTATCTTTCGCACATGTCACGTGACTATCGATAAAATTTGAGGCACTCAGTGGGGGGAAATGGAACGCATTTGCGCACCGCTAGAGGGGTATTTAATTGTTTCCTTTTTGAAGTTTATTATTATTATCATCAGCATTATTATTGTATTATACCAGTGTCACTCTGCCTGTGTATTCGTGTATGAAATTCCGTTAAAATATAAAATAAAATAACAAAAAACTGAGCTTCTGACAGTCTTTTAAAGTCCATGGTAGATGTACAAATAAGAACAGGATATTATATATTCTTTCCACCAAATTGATAATGCTTCACATATTTTAATAGAAATAAAAGGTATTACTCGATCATTATGATATGGCCTTCTTGACTTCTATTATGAATATCATCTATGCACGGCATAGAGATCCAGTTTCTACCGGGATAGACAATAAATTCCATACTTTGTCCCAGATTTATTAGTACTGTGTCCGATTTACTGGCGAACAATTTATTTTCACTGAAAATATATTTTAATATCTTTTTTTTATTCATAGAGAAATAATCATCCTTAGACAATCTAAAATGGTTTAGAAATTTGTCAGGTACACCTTACCACAAGTCATATAGGCGTTCACATAAAAATGTTGTCTGTTTTTGTTGTTGTTTTACTCGACATTGATAGAAAACGAGGTTGAATGTAAAGTAAGCCCTTGAATCCGTACAAAAGTCTATCAACTCAATGTAATATCTATCAGATTAACGGGACAGACAAATTATTTTCACACATTATGGATATTTTAGCAACTACATTTTTATTCAACCCCGTATTTCAAAGTATAGTTCTAATAAATATGTCCTCTTAGCTGGCGATCTGAACTCACGTATTGCAGAATTATCTGATTTCATCCCATCTGATTCTTTCTTAAATGATCATTTTAACATTGACGACGAATCGGTGTCTTTCTTTGATAAATATAAAGTATTAGAGGAATTATCAATTCCTCTACGTAGATTGTCAAGTGACAAAAGAATGAATAATCATGGCATTCAATTGATCGAACTCTGTAGGAGCAATAACATTTTTGTTGTTAATGGTAGATTTGAAACTGATAGGCCCGCAAATTTAACTTTCAGGGATAAATCAATTATTGACTATCTCATGGCGAGTGTTGATGCATTTAAACTTATATCTGACTTTAAAGTTATAGAAACAGACTCGCTTTTTTCCGATGGACACAACGCGTTATATTGGACATTAAGTAACTTTGACACTAATTTTGACAAATCATATAAGAATGAAAATAAATCGCAAACTAAATCAAAACCGAAATGGCGAGAAGAGCAAAGCGACAACTTTGTAACAAATATTGACACTAATCATTTATCATACATACAACAGCTGTGTAACTCAACTAGTGCTCAGAATGTAAATGGAAATATAGAACTTATAACAACAGAACTTCAATTACTGTTTGAAAATTCATCAACCAAAACATTTCCACCATTGACTCGTAAAACATACCATAAGAATAACAAGAATAAGCCTTGGTTTGGACCGAAATGCCACAAAGCACGAAAAAATTATCACGATGCTAAAATTAGATATAACTTAAATAAAACAGACGATAATAAGTTGCGCTTAAAAAATAGCAGCAAGCAATATAAAAGAACAATGAACTATTACATAAACAAATTTAAACATGATAACTCATACAAGCTAAGAAAAATGCAAACCAAAAACACAAAACAATACTGGAATTTTCTAAAATCTATTAATCCAAAATCAGGTAGTAAGCCATCTCCCTCTATCAACGAGTTTTACGAGTACTTTAAAAATGTAAATAGTAATCCACATAATGATACACATATTAATTTAGATCAAACATTTATAGATAATTCAAATGTCTATTTAAATAAAGTCATAACGCAGGAAGAAATTCTAATTTGTATCAACAAATTAAATAATGGCAAGGCCTCGAGTCCTTCTGACAGTATAACAAATGAATATATTAAGAGTACAAAATCTATTCTTTTACCCATCTATGAACGTCTTTTTAACATAATTCTTGATTACGGACATTTACCGCCTGTTTGGCTGGAAGGCTGGATATATCCAATTTATAAAAATAAAGGAGAATCGAAAAGCACTAATTCTTACAGACCAATAACAATATTATCATGTCTTGGTAAATTATTCACTGCTGTCCTAAATTCAAGGCTTAACAATTATATGGAAGAATTCAATCTCCTAAATGAAGCACAAGCAGGTTTTAGAAATGGCTACTCTTGCTCGGACCACTTATTTACATTGCATACATTAATTGAAATTTTAAAGAAGCGTAAACAAAAACTATTCTGCGGATTTATTGATTTCTCTAAATGTTTTGATACTATCTGGCGTTTTGGGCTATGGCATAAATTACTTCAATATTTTATTAATGGTAAAGTTTTTCAAGTTATTTTCAATATGTACAATAATATCAAGTCCTGCGTTGTACATTTAGGAGAAACATCTCAATTTTTTACTTCAGTAGCTATTTTAACAATCAACGCAGCATGTATCTTAATAACGTTCACTTAGTTGATAACGAAAACAGTTTTGAAAGCTTAATAAATTCAACAAATGTGCACAAACTGTTGAATCTTTGTAAATTTATCCGTATAGTCTTGGCAAAATTTTAATTATATAGCATCCAACATGTTTATGATAATAGTTTTACAGACTTACCCTTTTTCTCGCCAAAATAATCCATAAAGATACTTCTGCAATACTTGAATACATATATACTCAGTGTGAGAACTTCCTCATATTGAGCGCGCGCATATCTATTTATATCTTTCGCCAATTATAAATTATCCGTTATAATGCTACCTGATTGAATTTTACCCGAAACAGCGTAATTAAATTACAAACTTATCGCTTCAAAACTCTTTCAAAAATATACTTATTTTATTTATTTTGTTTATTATTATTATTATTATTATTATTATTATTACTATTTTCCAATAGTGGTAATAATAACAATAATAATAAATACACCAAGGTCAAGATCTATATTGAAGCGTGACATACAGTAATCAAGGGAGAATCTCAAAATTATATTTGAACGTAAAGTTTTATTTATAACTTGATTGAAAATCTCTTAGCACATTCTTTTTTATATGTGTTTTTTTTGTTTTTGTTTTTATTAATATTTCTTGTTTTTCTTATCAAGATGAACTGTTAAATTATCTAGAATTAAGAATATCCGAATTTCCCCCCCCCCCCCCCCCCAGAAAACACACTGTAATAATTCACTTCACCATATTGTTTACATTATAGGAAAAAAATATATTGTGCAAAATTATGTATGTTTACTGCTGGAAAACTAATGTATTATATATGTGTTATATTAGAAAATCCTCATATTGTACAAATGTGCTTGAGTGAATAAAGATATCTGTCTGTCTGTCTGTCTGGTTGTGCGATTTGCCGCTATGCTTAATTATTTATGTTACGTACATTGGCCGACAATTTCTTAATTTATAAAAAAGGCTAAATGTTGAGATATTCATAAAAGATGTACGGTAGTTGTACGATACATGTATTACGAGAAGTATGGACCTGTAATTCACGGATATATGGAACTACCGATTTCCCTCATTGATGCCTCAACAGGGGGCGGAGCGTTATCGATAATCGACAGGTTACGCGAGTAGCAGTTACAAATAGTATAGGTACCGTTTTAAAACGTTTAAAAACACATTTTTTGGACTAACTGCTTCCAAAATTAAATCACGAATGTGTTCAGAAAAGGTTGATAAATCTACTTAGCAAAAAATCTCATTTTAGGTATTTTCAGTGATAATTGACTCCGTTGTCACCTTAAGATGTATTTTTTTGCTACAAATTTTCTATACTTTACTGTATTATAAAAGACAAAAAACTATTTGTCTCACAAACTCCAGTATTATTGTTATTGATAGTGGTATTACATCTTATATGAAATAAATGATTGACGCATGAATTGTTTTGAATTTATGCTCTTCAATATTGGAGGAATAAAAGATATAAGTTAGTCCAAGGAAATATTTAAACAAGCATTTTTACAAAGTAATAAGATTATTCTTTTCACAGTGATTTAACTGAATTAACTTCATCAAATTTTAACTTTTATAAGATCTCAGTCACTTCATCACCACAGAGTTAACTTTCTTTGTTGAGTATAGTGTCCAGTAAGAAACTATTTATTTGTATGCAGTAGTTTAAAGTCAAGAATATGTTTTCTAAGTGTATTTGATTTATCAGGCCAATTATCCTATAAGTCCAATTATCCTACAAGGCCTATCATCCTGCAAGGCCAATTCTTAAGTGAGAAAATGTCCGGTGTAATAGATATTCTCTGGAACCCGGCAAATGTGAGTTTTTCCCCAGAACAAACAATCTTTTACTGTTACAACTTGGTTCATTGTTCTGATAATAAGTGAAATTGGTGGATCACTCTATTTTGAAGGGAAGTGCATCATAAAGCTGTAGCGGTAAAAGTTTGTTTGTACCCAATTATTAGATTGGGAAAAAAAGACATAATTGAGCCATGTCACAACAAAACCAACATAATGGGTTTGCGACCAGCATGGATCCAGACCAGCCTGCGCATCCGCGCAGTCTGATCAGGATCTGTGCTGTTCGCTTACAAACCCTATAACAAGTAGAGAAACTGATAGCGAACAGCATGGATCCTGATCAGACTGCACAGATGTGCAGGCTGGTCTGGATCCATGCTGGTCGCAAACGCATTATGTTGGTTTTGTCGTGACGCGGCTCATATTTGCCAAGTTCCAGATAACATCTGTTCTCTTGGCAGATCACTTTTTGTTTAAGAGGTAGAAAAATAAGATCTCTTTGAATTAATACCACTTTTATCCACATCCCAAATGACCGGAAAATAATTAAAATCAAAGTAATGAAACATTCTTATAAAGCTATCTGTGGCAATTGATTAGTTCGAATGAAAATAGCGACATGGTAACATGTTGTTTGTTCAAATGAGCGAATTCTTTGAAGTTAATTTGATATCATTTACCATATAAAAAGCCCTTACCCACGGAAGCTGTCACGGAAAAGCAGGTAACATTTTCATCATTTATGTTACTTACTCTAATAAAGCAGCATGAAGACCTACCTAACTTCTGAGGGCAACATAATGTCTGTTTCCTCTGGTGTTCTCCCTTAAAATATAAGATCCGTGTCAGAACATACTATGGGGTCTTTTTAGCTTAAATGGTAAAGGTGGCGGATTACCAATCACCTGCCCTGTCTTTCACCGTTGCAGCAGTTTCAGTTTTGCCATGGCTATTGAATTCTTTGAAGTGAAAAATGCTACTGTACAATCAGAAATTTTCTCAAGAAATTATTTGTTCCCATTTAATTCACAATTATAGCAAAAATGAATGTTTTTTGGGGTTTTTTTTGTAAATATTTTCCAGGTGTGAGTTAAACAGCACTGACTGGTTCCAGTTTTTAAAGTTTAATTAAAATGTCACCCTGGCAGCCATATTGGTTATAAAGATACATGTGTGTGTACATGAATTATGTTTTATTTGCCAAATTACAATGGGGATTGAGTTAAATTAAGAATAAATTAAATGATTCTGTGGCTTAAGGTGCCTCAGGTGCTTCTTGTGCCTCAGGTGTTTCTTGTGCCTCAGGCACTTCTTGTGCCTTTGATGCTTGTTGTGCCTCAGGTGTTTCTTGTGCGTCAGATGCTTCTAGTGCCTGACAGGTGCTTTTTTGTGCCTCAGATGCTTCTAGTGCCTCAGGTGCTTTTTTGTGCCTCAGGGGCTTCTAGTGCCTGTGGTGCTCCTTTTGCCTCAGGTGCTTTTGTCTCAGGTGCTTCTAGTGTCTCAGATGCTTCTAGTACCTCATGGGTGCTTCTAATATATCAGGTGCTTCTTGTGCCTCAGGTGCTTCTTGTGCCTTAGGTGTCTCTTGCACCTGAAATGAGATAATGGTATCGGAGTGGTTCTTCCTCACTGGGGCTCTTCCTTTAAGAAAGCTAAAAAGATGCTATTGTTATTTCAAAGTTGAAACATGGCTTTAAATCAAAATTTCAAATTAGCAATAAGGAAAAAAGAAAGAAAATTTTTATATAAGATATTTCAAATAAATTGCAGCTGGCAATATTTGGACAACAACACTGGAAACAGACATTCCTTGATTAAAGTTAGGTCCAAAGTCCTTCTCTTGGCCAGAATATTTTAGGCTATAGTAATCATTGCTATGATTTGGGTAGGGAGATACTTATAAAATATGACACTACATTCTTCCAGAGGGCTTGATCTAACCTCCTGCATTTTGCTTAACATATTTTGGCTAATTTAGTGTTTGAATCACCTTCCTCAGGCTAGATATTGCTGATATTTGTATTGCAGATTGTTATATTGCAGATTTAGTATTGCAGATAAAGTATTGCAGATTAAATATTGCAGATCTGTATTGCAGATTTAGTATTGCAGATTTGTATTGCAGATTTAGTATTGCAGATATTTAATGGGCTTGTTGAAAGTTTGTACATCAAAGTTGAATGATGGTTATGTTATTAATCACTGAACTGTAAATTATATTACACTATTGTATCTAAATGTTATGTTAATTTTGAAAAATCTGATTGTTATAAATATTTTTATGGGTATTTCTTTCTCTTACTGTATTTCAATTAAGTTCAGAAAAGTAGCAATTATTTTCATCAATTTTTATAAAATTTGTTGTTGTTTGTTTGAATTTGACTGAACCTTACTTTAAAGCATATTATAATGGCCTTTATTCCACTCCAAAGTATGACAGTATGGACATTTTACTCTCAAGTGTGAAAATATGGACTATATTTCACTCAAAAGTGTTACAATTTTATGGTTTACACAGAATTTATTTTAGTTTGATTGTATTGGAAGCTATAAGCTTATTATTTTAATGTGAGATAACGTTATAAAAAAAGATTTGTACAATAATGTTGTCAACTCAATTAATTGTAAAAATGAATTCTCATCTCTAATCATAAGGTACCCATTTACAAAATATATTCTCTGTGTGGGTACTGTACAAATGGTTAAGTTAAGCCTAGGTCACAAATAAAAAAATGCCGCCGGGTGACTTCTGTTTCTCCAAAATATCGCAATATCGGCCGGCGGCAGTGATTATCGGACGGCAGCAGCTGAAAATTTTGCTCATCGGGCCGGCGCCTTCGAGTTTTATGTAATACTTAAAAGCTAACGGCGGCCGGACGATAATTTTTGGGGTCACTGAGTATAAATATCATGGAGCGGACATCGCTCGGTGGCCGGGCGGCTACCGGTTGATGATTTTTTGATCGGGCGATTTTTTGTTCTACTAAAACACCGTCCGATTTAAAAGGCGTCCGGGCGAACATCAGTCGGGCCCCGCCCGGTGCCTGAATAGAGACAAGTAGTCAAACGATTATTGCCCGGTACCCGGACGATTCATGTACAGGCACCGGGCGGTCATCGTTTTGTCATCCGGCGACCGGGCTGCTTGTGTTTGTTGTAATTTTAGCTTGAAGAAGTTGTTATCGCCTCAAAAATATATTTGTGAATTTCTTTTGAATACTAGTAAACATGAATTTTTTCTTCAATGTCCATGCGAATGTCTGATTGATTTTCGACTTCTACGGCCTCGATACTTGCCGTTGGTGACTCGGTGTCAACAACACGGACCATCTCCTTGGCCTTCACCTTGGCTTTGGCAGCTGACTTCTTTGCTGGCGTAATTACAAATGGCTGATTTATAAAGGATGTCATTAAATGTAAAATCATTGTCGCTCGGCGCCCGCGCGGCAACCGTCCGATTCACTTTTAAATCGCACAGGCGCCATACGGACATCGGGCAAGGTATCAGATTTAAAATCGCCCGGCATCCACGACATCAAAAAATCTGCCGATTTTATAAAAATTGTTTAATCGGACGGCGCCCGTTTTATTTGTGACCTAGGCATTAGCGATTCTGAAATACGGAAATTGCTAAAATATCCTCTAACGTAAATATCGACCAACCTGTCTTTCAATTCTACCCTTGTACGATTTGTTTATATTTCCTCATGCAAAATGTCTAGAATTTTAAAGTCACTAACTTTTCACCAAACAAAAATATCCACTTATACAGTCATTGAACAGTTTTTTCATAGGAAATGAAAGCTTGCATTTTGGTAAATCTGCATGGAGAAGACGTATTATGTTAACTGAGTATGATGATATTGTGCAGCATCTTTCATTCACAGTATTTATTTAAATTTCTGTACTTTACCCTTAACCATGTCTAGCTTCTGTTTTTTGGAACTGTCCGGAAGTTAACAGTATAGAGCCTGGTCTGAGTCAGCTTGAATGTACAGGCTGGCCTGGCTCTATACTAGCCAAAAAGGCTGATCACTTTCGGTTCCTGCAGATTAAGGGTTAATATGAGCCGCGTCATGACAAAACCAACGTAATGCGTTTGCCACCAGCATGGATCCAGACCAGCCTGCGCATCCCCGCAGTCTGATCAGGATCCATGCTGTTCGCTGTCTGTTTCTCCACTTGTAATAGAGTTGGTAAGCAAACAGCATAGATCCTGATCAAACTGCGCGGATGCGCAGGCTGGTCTGGATCCTTGCTGGTCGCAAACCCACTATGTTGGTTTTGTCGTGATGCGGCTCATACAGATATCTGATAATTGTGATGATTGAAAAGCAGTTTATTTGTTGACCATTGGTTTATATCCAAAAGTGCTTGGCTAGCATGGCACCACGGTGGACTTGAGTCCCCCCCCCATTTTGTTCTCTCAAATGGTGAAAAAATGCCTTATTTAAGCCCCCAACACTTGTTTTTGTTTGAGAAATGCTGTTAAAAAAAGTGACCTCTTTTTCGGCGCAGCCCCCCAACCAAAAGATACATCAGGGGGTTGCAAGAAGGGGGATGTGCCCCCTTCTGTTTAGGGGGTTTGAAGGGGGGCGGAGTCCCCCTCATCGCCAAGAAAATTTTGGACTTGTGAGAGGCTATAAATGACCCCAGATTGATCATAAGGTAACGTGTAACCAACGCTGAAAAGCATTTGACTCTATCTCAATCCATTGAGAAGTTGCAGCACTTTGAAATCAATTTTGATGGAAAAAATCAACGCAAAATAGTGATTTTTGGCAATTTTGAGATGTCCCCTCATTGCCATGGTAACAGAAAATTTAAGCCTGAGCATGTTGTTGCAAGGGCAATGGTCCAGTCAACATTTGTGCCAAGTTTGATTAGTGTTGAAGCAGTTTTTATAGTATATTAGCAATTTGAACTTGTAACGGGAGACTTTTCAATGAAAACAGCCATTTTTCACAAAATGCTCATGAAGTAATGGGTTAAGAAATAAAATACACTCTGTGCATTTTGTGCATTATTTCTGGGACAACAAAGAGCCCTCAGGTTAGACAGACATCTGTGATCCTTGCTGGGAAATCAGTGAATGGCCTCATTTGTATTATTGTCACTTACAACTGAATGAAAACTAATGTGGTAATGCCTAATTATTAGCTTGATCATATATTGTATAAATTCATGGAAGTTTGTTCTTTATTAAGAAATTAATCCTAGATGTTCACTTTAATAATTATTTTATTTCTTCAGATTTTTGAATTATTGTAAATTTTTATTTATATTTGTTGTGTAATGGCGAATATTTTATATTGTCAGATATATATTTCTAGTATTGAATACAATGTTCATGTATTTCTCTTATAGAAAGAGTTGTTGTTTATAGCCATGCATTTACCTATTGGTTATAGTTTGTTAGTCAGCATTAATGAACTTAAACCTGTCTGGCCAGGCACAGCTGGGCGACAAAATTAATGGAATAAATGCTGACTTAAAAACAAACACTTACCTTCTAAATGGTTGAAATTATGTTTTGAACATTTTACTCTGAGCAAGAATGATACTGGATAGTTTTAAATGACATTTTTTGGTAGATTACATAAACTTAATGCACCACGGAATTTGAAAGACGGAACTTGATTCCGTTGGACAAAATATCATTTCAACCACATAGCTTGCAAATTTGGAGTCTGTAACATCTTGGATACTAAGAATATAAACCTTTTGTTCAGGAAGATACATTTAAATCTAAAAGGCAGTTATAGAATTAGTAATTGGAAGCTTGTTGAGCCAGAAAATACTAATTATTCTGAATTTTTGATACTGTATCAGTTTCCAAAAAAAAGCACTCATTGGCCATATTGCTGAATCAGACTTGCTTTTTTGCCATAAGTAAAGTTATAAAGACTTAGTATATTTAGCTAACTGCTATTTTTATTATTATTTCATATTCAAATCTGCTTTTTTTACATGAAGAACACCTAACATGCTCTAAATCCATTTTATAATATTATAATAATATTATAAAACACAGTGTGCCTTTTCTACAGAAGAAAAAACATATTTGTTTCTAAGGCTTGAAGTGCCTATAATTAATTTTTTTTGTTCAAGGTGTAAGACTTTGCGTGGATTTATGTACAGATAAGTATGAGGTGCATACATGTATTGCTTTACCAAGGCAGCTAAAATGTCACCATATGTCCTGTCTAAAAAATTGTGACAAGGTTTATAACTAGCACCTTTATTTCAAGAATTATTTCACCTTTTGATTCAAACTTTTGCTTTCAAAATATAATAAAGATGTACTTGATTGACCTTTAACCTTTGTTATATTTTAGCCATGCCACAGCCAGTGTTTGAATGGTTGTTCCGGTCCTGGTGCACAACAGTGTACTGCTTGCAAAAACTACCAAATTCAGGATTCTGGGTAATTATTTTATTTATTTATTTTTTTTTTTTTTTGTTTTTTTTTAAATGAGAAATGATTTTTGTTGAAATGGACATTATCATACTCTTTCTCTTTTTTTTGCAAAAAAAAGAAATTCTAAATTATAAAACTTATGGTCGCACTAATACAACTACAGTTTGAAAAGTCTTTCGTCTGAGGAAAAAGAATGCATGCATAAATATGTCAAGAAGTGGCCTAGTGATTCATTTGGGTTTAAGCACTACTTTTGTCACTATAATAATTATGACGTTGTATGAAAAAATTCTGGTTGTTTCACTGGACCGGTTCAAGCTGAATTAATATGTGTTTCTTTCTTTAAATTACAATTAAGAAAAAACCTTGAAGCTTGAAATTAAAGTAAAGATACTTTTGTTATAGCAATTATCACACAAACTACAATGCATAAGTGTAATAAGGCCATGTAATAAAATTGAATATTGACCCCCAAAATGGCTGCCTCTTTTGTCAAGGGATGTCAATATTGTAAAAAATCAGGAACTATCTATTTGAATTATATTTGAATATTTCTAGGATGTGTGTTGAATCTTGTCCGAATGAGTACTATGCAGATATCTATCAGTGCAAGCATTGCAGCGACCCCTGTGAAACCTGTACATATGTCTCCACAAAGCAGGTGATGTGTCTGAAATGTAAGCCTGGCTACCTACTGATTGAGGGCAAGGGAACCTGCGAGAAAGCTTGTGATAAAGGTTACTATAAAGGTATGTCATCTGGGTTTTTTTTTACTGTTTTCTGAGAATTTACCAGGAACCAGCTTTATTAACTTGGCTGGGAACCAGTCTTGTAATGTTTGTTTTCTAAATGATCTATGCAGATTCTACTCAGATTCAACAAGAGCTGCAGGTGATAAAAATATAATTAGAAATTGATGACCAGTCTCAAATCCTGACATCTGATTGGATGTTTCAAATCACACTTTTGAAATTACCAATGATAGTGCTGCATTGGTAGACTGGTTTCCAAATCTTAGATTCTTACTGTCAAATTGTAATTAGTCTCGTAAAATAATTGTACTTAAATGGTTGGTGTTTGTCTCACAGCTGATTTGGAAACCATTTGAGATTAGGAGTTTGTCACTTGTGGAGAAATTGGTAATTACTGGTTAGTTATCCAGTAAAGTCGATTAAGGTGGATCGACCACCAAGATGTGACAAGAATTGTGTAAAGTTGGTGTAAAAACCAGTCACACAAACAGATTTAAAGCTAAAGCAATGCACAACTGTTAAGGTTGAGGGTCAACGACCAACAAGTAAGCAGATAATGCAACAATTCCTATGAAACTTTTATGTAACATTTACATAACTTTTACATGATTATTAGGTTTGTGACCATTATTATTTTGCATGCTACTAAATGTGTATAATAACAGTAACATTTAATTGTTGTTTGAATTGAAATGTGTTGTTAACTGGTATCTTTATACAAGGGTAATTGAAATGTGTATTTATTTCTTGGTCACCTTTTATCATTTCACCTAAAAGAAAGATTTTGTTCTATTTATCTCTTTTGCTAAAAATTTCATTTAATCAAATTAAAACTGCCAGCAAAATTTTAGGTCAGTTGAAAAGTGTAAACGGTTATAAAAAATCATTGTCGTAGGTTGTTTCCTGCAATTTGCTTTGTTGTTTATGTTTGCTTCGTGTGGCTGAATTATTCAGTTGTTGATTTTTTTTTATTTTTGTGATAATTTTTAAACCAAGTCCTGTTTTACGCGCTTGTTTTTGAAATGGCAAGAAATTGATTCCCAATAGAGAGGTATGAAGATTTTACATTTATCCCATATAACAAGGAGACATGCAGCATGTTGACCACAACACTGTTATTACCTGAAACTTTTTAAATGATCTCTTTTATTATATTTCTTTATTGTATAAAAAGCTCTTTAAAATTTTGAATTTTGCAAAAAAAATATTCTTAATGTACAGGAGCAATGGTATTTCAAAATGATACCTAAAGGAACGCATCTGAGGTCCAAAAACACAAAATTTGAAACTCTAACATAGATCAATTGGGGTCCTTAAAATGGCAAAATAAACAAATGATGTTAAAGAATTAAATTGATGATTGATTTTTGTGCAATTCTAATAGCCCGATTTTTGTAAAAGTGTATAATAATAAATACTTTTCAGTTTTTGGCCATTTTACACAAATTTTAAATGATTATTCTAGAAAAACAGAGTGAGGATATAAACACAAGCTAATTGTCCAGACCTACATCAAATGGTACTTAAATCTCGAAAAAAGTATTTCCAGCCCTGTACAACATCATAAAATCTTCATAAAACTTATAAAACTTTATAAAAGTTCATTGGAGTCACTTTAACATGTTCAAACATTTTCTTTATTGCATGTGTTTTTGAAACGAAATCAAATGAATTGTGTATCCATACAGTTTCTGTACCTCAATATTTTGTATCTAATATGTAATGACTCTATTATGCTTTTTGTGCCCCCACGTTAGTGGCGGGCATTTAGATTTACCCTTGTCCGTCCGTCCGTCCGTCCTTCCGTCCGTCCTTCCGTCCGTCCTTCCGTCCGTTCACTATTGTGTCCGTTAGTGGCGGGCATTTAGATTTACCCTTGTCCGTCCGTCCGTCCGTCCTTCCGTCCGTCCGTTCACTATTGTGTCGCACGTAACTTAAAAAGTATTTGACCTAGAGTCATGAAACTTTACAGGAATGTTGATCAGCATGTGTAGTTGTGCACTTGGGTATTTTCGTCTGGACATTTTTAGTATTTTCAGAGTTATTGCCCTTGACTTAGTAAAATTTTGCAATTTTCAACTTGTGTCGCATGTAACTCAAAAAGTTTTTGACCTAGAGTCATGAAACTTTACAGGAATGTTGATCAGCATGTGTAGTTTGTGCACCTGGGTATTTTTCATGTGGATATTTTTAGTATTTTCAGAGTTATTGCCCCTTGACTTAGTAAATTTTGCAATTTTCAACTTGTGTCGCACGTAACTCAAAAAGAATTTGACCTAGAGTCATGAAACTTTACAGGAATGTTGATCAGCATGTGCAGTTGTGCACCTGGGTATTTTCATGTGGCTATTTTTAGTATTTTCAGAGTTATTGCCCTTGACTTAGTAAAATTTTGCAATTTTCAACTTGTGTCGCATGTAACTAAAAAAATATTTGACCTAGAGTCATGAAACTTTACAGGAATGTTGATCAGCATGTGTAGTTGTGCACCTGGGTATTTTCATGTGGATATTTTAAGTATTTTCAGAGTTATTGCCCTTGACTTAGTAAAATTTCGCAATTTTCAACTTGTGTCGCACGTAACTCAAAAAGAATTTGACCTAGAGTCATGAAACTTTACAGGAATGTTGATCAGCATGTGTAGTTGTGCACCTGGGTATTTTCATGTGGATATTTTTAGTATTTTCAGAGTTATTGCCCTTGACTTATTAAAATTTCGCAATTTTCAACATGTGTCGCACGTAACTCAAAAAGTATTTGACCTAGAGTCATGTAACGTTACAGAAATATTGATCAGCATGTGCAGTTGTGCACTAGGTATTTTCGTCTGGATTTATTTAGTGTTTTTAGAGTTATTGCCCTTCACTTAGAAATTTTTTGCAATTTTCAACTTGGATTTGACATAGTCATTAAACCTTAAGGGCAGGTTGCTCAGCATATTTTAGATTTGCACCTGGGGTTTTGCTTGTGGATTTATCAAATATTTGTAGAGTTACTTCCCTTGACTTAGTAAAAAGATTGAGAGAACAGTGGCGCGGTGGGGGCACCCGTGTCCTATGGACACATTTCTAGTTATGTTTCATTTAAGACCAAAACTCATGATACAAATTCTTCGCATGACAGTCATTTTGAAAATATATTTTGTTTAATGTCTTGAAATTTCAGAAGCAAAAACTGCATCTATTTAAAACTTCCTTTATGGTGTGTAAATATGGCTTCCTTGGCCGAGTCGATAAGGTTGTCGACTTCAAATCACTTGCCCCTTACTGCTGTGGGTTCAAATCTTATCAAGGACTTTGGATTCTTTTATGTCCGAAGCTATCCTGACAGCTAGCTTGTAGAAGGTCAATGGTCCTACTTGGATGATCACTCATGCTAGAAAATAAAGGGTCCACTGGTTAAGCTGGTAATTCCCCCATATAAACTTTACACTGTCTGTATCACTTAAATTAATTTTTTTTTAAATAATCTGGGAAAACTTGCATGCTCATTTTCTTCAGCTCACCTTTGATTGAAAAAAACACTGTTGCTTGGTGTGCAGATATATGCACCATTTCCATGATTGACTGTCTCCCATAAAATGCACTATCTATCTGCTCATAAATTTTGAACTGTCTATTGTTAATTTTAGGATTTTAGGGAATATCAAAATGTTTTGCTATAAAGAAACTTTTGCTCTACTCAGGACTTATTTTGTACTTTGCCTGCTTTATAAAATATAGAACATGGCAGTCTTGTTTAAAGGTATAGCATTTCAAAATGCTTAAATTTAGCATGAAACCGTTCAGAACCTACTCACATTGCCCAGAAATAAAGGTTAGCCTGGTACCAGCTCAGGTAGCATTGACCTGGTACCAGCTCAAGTAGTATTGGCCTGGTACCAGCTCAGATAGCATTGGCTTGGTACCAGCTCAGGTACCATTGGCCTGGTACCCGCTTAGGTAACATTAGCCTGGGACCAGGTCAGGTAACATTTGCCTGGTACCAGCTCAGGTAGCATTGGCCTGGGACCAGCTCAGGTAGCATTGGCCTGAAATTTGTTGATTAGGGTCTTTAATGTTTTACTTCATCAAAAACAAGTCTGGTCTGTAATTACATTGTATACTTGTTACATAGACAAAATGAAAATTTCTTACAAAAAAAAATCACACAAAAAAATCATAAATTTTGTGTTGTAGATGATAAAATGCATCATTGTCGTGTATGTAGTGGCGTGTGCGACGAATGTCTTGACAATAAGAATAAATGTACAGCGTGTAGGAGTGGCCAGGTGCTAGAGAAAGATACATGTGTACCAGAAAGGGAGCCCTGTCCAGCAGGTAGTGTTATATAGCTTACAGAATATAATTATGACGCGTCATGACAAAACCAACATAATGGGTTTGCGACCAGCATGGATCCAGACCAGCCTGCTCATCCGCGCAGTCTGATCAGGATCCATGCTGTTCGCTTACAAACCCTATTACAAGTAGAGAAACTGATAGCGAACAGCATGGATCCTGATCAGACTGCACGGAGGCGCAGGCTGGTCTGGATCCATGCTGGTCGCAAACCCACTATGTTGGTTTTGTCATGACGCGGCTCATATATAGAATAACTTTAAAATGTCTTCACAGAACTGAACATACGTTTAATTTAGACTTGTACCTTGTACATCATCAGTAATACAGTTCTATTTAGAAATATAACATCTACATAACAGATACAACAATCATGATTTAATTCATATTATAAATCTATACTAGTAACAAGAAACATATATGGAATATAAATGGAGAGATATAGAAAAAGATGAGTGAGCAGTTAAAATACTTAAAAACATTCAAAAATTAATATTGATATTACAGTATATAGGTAGAGCAGGAGTAACTGTAGTCCTGTTTCACTGGGCTATATTTTAATCAATGAAAGGAAGGGATGGGGGATCAATGAAAGGTTGATAAATGATTTAAGTTACTAGATGCAAATCACTTGCCTCTCATTCATTCATGTGCAGAAAAGTCATTTATGATTCTATCCAGGTGCCACCATGTATCCTATATACATTATAATAGATGTAAGTTTCTATTCCCTGTTAAAGTTGTTATTGTTGTTTTATTGTTTGATAGGGACTTTCCAGTCACTAGGAGGATGTAAGACTTGTCCAGAAGGATGTTTTAGCTGTACAAGCTATTCAAACTGCACATGTTGTAATAAAGGGAGGTAAGTCATATTTGCTTATGTTAATAAAGGGAGGTAATTTGTGTGTAGCAACGGGAGAAGATTATCTGTCATTATCTGTTTGCAATAAAAGGTATTGCCAAGATAATGAACTGCTGCATAGAAGAAAAGGACATGAATTTTCTTGGTTCATACCCCACCATAAAATCTTGGGGTGACTATTTGGTCAATACTTTGTCGATTTGACCCTAAGACTCAACAAGCAGTGAATATAAGAAGAAGATATTTTCATTTTAATGAATATTGATTATATTTCATTGAGACATGATAGTTTTCAGTTATTCTCACTCTAGAGTTAATGAAGATATCGTTAGTTTTGAAGCAAAACATGCTTTTATATTCATTAACAAAAGCTCTTTAATTTTCATTTTATTACATTTGATTGAAAATCGCATGATTTACATGTGTAAGATTTGAGAAATGTTGATTTTTGCAATGCGTTTCACAGTTTGACTAACAATGAGTAGTATGGAATATATTCATCATATAAAAACCAGTCTTTTGATGACTTAACACATGGGTTAAAAATAATGGTGCCAACACATAGGATAAAAAGATAAAGGTGTTAACACATGGGATAAATAAATAAATGTGCCAACACATACGATAAATAAATAAATGTGCTAACACATAGGATAAATAAGTAAAGGTGCTAACACTTATGATACATAAGTGAAGGTGCTCACACATAGGATAAATAAATAAAGGTGCTAACACATAGGATAAATAAATAGAGGTGCTAACACATATGATACATAAGTGATGATGCTCACACATAGGATAAATAAATGAAGGTGTGTGTTGTTTTATTTCAGTTATTTACAGAATGGAAGTTGTGTACATAGCTGTGATAGTGGATTCCAACCTCTACATGTAAACTACAGCTCAATGTTTGTCTTTCAACAATGCCAGCAGTGTGGAAATGGTAAAATAGTTTTATTTACTTGTAGATCAATCCTTTTGTCCTATATAGTTTGTATATTGGTTTGGAATTTTTAAATTGGAATAGAACCTGTTTGACATTTGATGTGTTGCGTGCAAGACCCATTACCTTAAAGGTCAAGGTCACAGCAAGAGACAGAAAAATAAAGGTCAAGGTCACAGCATGATACAGAAAATATATTTGTCATATAGTCTGAAGTTTTTGTGTTTGGTTCATATCATCTCTATGCATTACGGGATCTCAAAATTACTGTTATTCTTAAGAAGATGATGTCATGTGCAAGACCCAGGTCCTTGGATCAGAAGTCAAGGTCACAAAAAAAGATTTTTGAAAATTGAAATAAGCTTCAAATGATGTCATTACCTTAGTTGCTTGGCATTTATTGTTTTAATTCCAATGAAAAATTGTGTTAAAAAGTGGAAATGTGAAACCTTTACTCAGGTTAGTGATAATTGGGCCCCTGTGTCCTTTATTGTTTAAATGGTGTATCCCTGCATGATTGTAAGAGGGCCACTAAATGGAATCGAATTACTGGAGCTTATGCATTTCTTAGCTCCAGCAGGTGAGGTGGTTCTGACCCCTGGTGTTGCTTTTAAGTTTGTAACACCCGAGGTTAGCCAAAGTCGTAATTTTTTGTTTTTTCCATATGATCTAAATTGTGTTAGTGCACCATAAAACCAAACCAAACCAATTTTAACAAAATAATTAATGTAAGGAATTTTTGTATATTTCAGAATGCAATGTCTGTCCGGCTGGATTTAAGTACATCAAAGGTGTATGCATACAACAAAACAATTGTCCGGATGGGACATACTTCCAGTGGAACTCTATGGTAACAACCTATCTGTTATACTGAATAACAAAATTTCATACTGATAAGTATTCAGGTTAAAAATTTCTTACTGTATAAGATTTGATGGATTTGTTGTTAAGATGCTTAAATATACATTGTAATAGGAATGTTCAGTGCAGTAAGACCAGTAATGTATAATTGTGCTGTAAAACCTAAAACAACAATGTTTAAATTTACCAATTTCAAGAAAAATTACAAGATACATTGTATTGTGTTATATACATTGATGATTGTATTGTGTTTTTAATCTATAAGTAGAAACCAGTAATAAAATTGAATATATATATTGTTTTCTTTCTTTGTTTTATTTCAGTCATGTAAGAAATGCAACACAAGTTGTCGGGCTTGTATAGGACCGAGTAACACAGACTGTTTATCATGCTATCCACCATCGGGATACAATAATTTATTACGTAAATGTATGAGATGTTGCTCAGAAAACGAACATAACTCCAAATATAAAGACTGCTGTCATTGTATAGAAGATGGTAAGTAAATAGAGTTTCTCCGGAAGTAAACATATTTTGGGTTATCACAGCTAATCCGGGGGTCCAAACAAACACTTTTACAAAATTTTTTACACTTTGAAAATATTTTTAGCGCTACAGGTTGACAAATCTATTGTGAATGGGTAGTGCATTGTGAAGCTATAATGGTAAAAGTTTGTTTGTACCGGAGGATTATCTTGCAAAAACCAAGATTTGCCAAGTTACATATTACAACTATTAATGTTACTTTTTCAACTGTTCCGATTTATGAATGTAAAGTGGTACTGTTTCTTTTACTTTAGTAATGAATCTTTCTTATGTTAAACAGTCTTGACTTCCTGTTTCTGTCATGTATGTCTCAAAAACATCATGTAAGTCCTAGAAGTGTCATTACGTTCATTCAAGCGTAAAATGGTGAATGTTCGGGTAAAAAAATTTGTTTAAAACTTTTCATTTGTCATTAATGTTTTCAGTTTTATGATTAAAGTCATTCGAATGATCAATATTTGTTTGTTTGGATTTTACGTCACATTGACACAGTATAGGTCATATTGCGACATTCCAGCTTTACTGGTGGTGGAAGACCTCAGGTGCCCCTCCGTGCATTATTTCAGGCATGAACGGGCACCTGAGTAGAACCACCAATGTTCCGTTAGCTAGCTGGATAGCTTCCTCACATGAAAGAAGCCAAAGTACCTGTCGGGATTCGAACCCACAGCGGTAAGGGGCAAGTGGTTTGAAGTCAACGACCTTAACCACTCGGCCACGGAAGCCCCATGAATTATCAATAACCTTAGTAAGTGACCTACAGACATATTAATAAAAGACCCTTACAGTCTCATTTGGTACTTAAGATTCTTTCATGTGTGGCAGCTATGTAGCGCCAGCTGATGAAAGGTTGGTGGTTCTACTCTAAAAAAAGATGTGCCTGAAATAATGCAAAAGGGTCAACTGAGGTCTTACCCCAACAGTTGCAATATGACCTTGACAGTGTTGGTGTGACAAAGAAACCCAAAGAAAATAAACTCACAAAACAGAAGATAAATTAATGTCTTTGCTGTCATTTTGTTTCTTCACTGTTATTTTATATTACAGGTAAATGTGAGATAAAGTCTCGACCACGATTGCAAGCTGAACAGTTGTACAGTGTGGCAACAGTTATTATAGTTCTTCTTGTGATTGTTATATGTGCTTTAGCTATCTTTGCTGTCGTAGCCATTGTAATAAGCTGCCGAAAACAAAAAGACCATCCAGATGTTCAATATAGACAATTAAGAAATAATGAAAATGAGTTTGAAAATGATACTGAGGAGGCATGATAAACAGCCATCTGTAGCTTATATCAAGTGTGATAAACACAAAATTAAAATTTTAGTATAGTGATAAACATTGTCTTTATGACATAATAAAGTGATAAACATTGTGTTTAGTTACAACAAGGCAATAAACACTTCTTTATCTCTCCAAAAAGTGAAGCACAACAAAAACGTGATAAACATGCATTCAGTGTTAAATGAAAATGATAAACATACATTCTATGTCATAAACATGTGTTTATGTTCTAACTTAGTGATAAACATGTATTTAGTGTTTTTTTCAAGATAAAGATAAACATGCTTTAATGTAAAATATGCATAGATTTTGTATTATTACAAAGATTGCCAAACTTAATTGTGCCACATCTTACTAACAATTATTAAAAGTGCTATGGAAGATGCTAAGGTAAATCAGGATGATATTTGGTTTATACAGAATTTATTTTAGTTTGATTGTGTAGGAAGCTATATGCTTATAGACACACTTTCGAATCCGTTCCTGGAACCAACCAGTACTGAGCAATGAGTGTAAAGTTTCTTGCTCAAGGAAACAACGACTTGCCCCTGACGGGGGTTGAACCCATGGATGATATTTATGTCTGTTTACTAAGCTAGATCAACATAATGGTCATTCAATTTGTCTGTTAACCAAGCTAGTCCAGGTTGGCCATTAGGTCTGTTAACCAAACTACTCCAGGTTGACCATTAGGTCTGTTAACCAAGCTAGTCCAGGTTGACCATTAGGTCTGTTAACCAAACTAGTCCAGGTTGACCGTTAGGTCTGTTAACCAAGCTAGACAGGTTTGACAATTACGCCTGTTAACTAAAGCATGTCATGGTGAAGTTCATTCATTAGGTCTGTTAACCAAGCTAGGACAAGGTGATGGTCATTGATTTGGTCTGTTAACCAAGCTAGGTCAGGGTCATGGCCATGTGTTTGGTCCAATTACAAGCTAGGTCAGATTGAAGTTATTCATTAGGTCTGTTGGTTAATTAAGTAATGTCAGGATGATCGTCAGTCACTGTTCTAAGAAATATCTAAACTAAAGTTTTTTGACAAATGATAATTCGGTATAAGGCAACTGCTTTTGATGTAAATCAAATTGTGGCCATGTTGCAAAGGAGTGCTTGTTTGGAATTAAAGGCTTTAAATGTTCACTGTAACACATTCATAATTGTTCATATGTGCTAAACACTTAAGATTTGCAAAAGATAAGTATGGTTAATTACCTAGAATTATACTGATTTAATCAAATAAATCAAAGAAATTGAGCAGGTATATCTTCTCTGCAGAGGCTGAAAAAAGACAATAACTAAATAAAATCATTTATCATTTTGTTGTCATCATAATTAATTGCCAAAGTACCATTTATTTTTTATCAAAATAACTTTTCTTGGAAAATTGTTAAAGTACTTAAAAGCAAGTTGTACATTTCTTTAGAAATTTTCTTTTACTGACTTTCACTTAAAAAGTGTTAAGATTTCGTACGTTTCAATGACTAGTCAGGGAAGACTAGTTCAAATGTTAATCTACAAATAATCATCAACAGTTTGTGTATTTTCAGTATCTGAAAACTTGAAATCAAATCATTAGATAAAACAAGTGGCTTTTAAAATTGTAAAAACTTTACTGTATGTTTCCGTTATCATATCATAATTATTATGTAAAGAAGCTTGAGGAACAAACATTTTATGTTGAATAAACTGAACTTTCTAATGATCAAATGTGGGATATGTGAAATATTTCACCAGAATTCTCTTTATTTGACAGTGAGTTTGTTGTATTATAATTTATGCTTGCATTTTGTATGTACTGTTTCAAATGTTAGACATTTTGATTTGTATTAGTAAAGCAATTTTCATGAAGGCTTATAAATAGGACTTGATTTGCATTTAGATGTATGATTTATGTAGCTTAAAATTGCTGCTTTCTTGGAATTATAATATTGTATTTTAGTTTTTTTTGGTATTTTACGGTTTCGTGGATTAAATGAAGAATCTAGTCTTTTACCTTTGAAGTTGAGTTTCCTGATTATGAAATTGCAACTGCCCATTGTTTTTTGAAGGGGTTTTGATTTTAAATCGTCAAAAAGAATAAACTGAATAAATTCTGGTCATACTTATCGAATGTGTTGATATGCTTTTCTGCAAACTGTAAAATCAACTATTTTTCCAGGCAAACATTTCGCAATAAAGTAATCACAAACTTTTTCTGATAATGCATATATACAAATGGTGAGAAAAACAATAAAGTGTTACTTGCATGTAATATCTAATATTGAACTACACAATTTTTAGAAATATTTGGATGAGCACAAAGCTAGAGAATGCATATTTTACAAGCCACCAGGCCAGTCCCATATGACTTTCTCATCTTTGTAGGAGACAAAAGTTAAATCTAGAGTTAGCAATTGGATAAAAATAATTGGTAGAGAATAGTTATATTTTGTAAATATTGTGCATTCAAGTCAAAAACATACAAAGTTCAATGTTAAGTACAATATGAATGTATATCGTAGGTTAAATTTCACAGAATGTAAACCAGAATTTCATGTTGATCGAAATGGTTTTCCGAAGCAAAGAATAGGAAAGGGGAGTGATGTTTAGTTATTGTTTAGTGTACATTAACTGTACATAATTATGTCATTTTCATATTAACATTCATTTTTCGTTTTATAAGAAAGAGAAGTTTAAGGGATAAAAATAACTTCAATATATCTTTTAATTAAACTGTGATCTCATTTTGAACAAAGTGTTAAATAATTATAATATTGAATTTTCAAACAATACAGAAAATAATGTTCCACTTATCCACAGTTGACTACAAAAATATTTTTAAAATTAAAGAACTTGATCATTGAGCAATGTTAAATCAAAAACTGCTTGTAGGGTTTAGTTCTAAACGGTTTTAACTAATATGACATAAATATGGAGTTACAACCATTTAGCATCAATCCCTAAATTTGTTAATATTTTTTCTGGTATACATTACCCCAGATATTATCTTGCATAGAATCTGTAAATATACATTTAATGATGATGATTTTATTTTTTATTTTATTTTTTTGCACTTTTTTTTTGCATTTTTTTTTCTCCAAACTTTTCTTTACACCTTAATCATCTTACTGAAGATAACTTAAAACCAGGATTCCTCAATATGTATCAGTCAGTACCTTAGCTATTGCATAAATCCATAAATCTTATTTTTTCTTTATTATTAATTATTATTTAAAGTTTTTTTTATAAGATTGATTATACAAAGCACAAATTATTTTAGAATCTCTTTTGGACATTTTGAACAATATTTTCAAACTTTAAAAAATGATTGTAACATTGTATTTCATTGGATAAACGTTATGTTAATATATTCTTTATACACGACTGCTGTAAATTTTTAACTCAATTTTCATTAATCCTTAATTGTACAAGAATTGTGCAGCATTGTAAAATCTTGGAAGAAAGCTTTTTGACAGGTTATATGGTCATGTGTAAATTTTTATTTGCTATATAACCTGAACTGCTATCACCTTACAACTGTTAATGTTAGGCCATATAACATGTCAAAAAATTTCCATGTCTTTCTAAATAATATCATTATGCATTATTGTAGCCATTTGTTTATTCAAGAGAAATGCATCCTGTAATATATGTCTGGTTAGCTACAAAATGTATGTAGCGAAAAAATAGAGGATATTGAATGAGTGTAGTTAAATACTAAATTTATTGAACGAGTTGAATAAAATCATATTATGCGAGCCTCTGGCGAGCATAATATTGTTTTATTCAACGAGTTCAATAAATTTTGTATTGAATCTACACAAATATAATATTCTTTTTATCACATATATAAAATAAGAACAGTAAACTGTTAAAATGAGTAATTTTTCAATGAAGTTTTATAGTGTAACGCTAACATGAGCCGCTTTAACGCTATGTTTCTATATAGCGCAAATGACGTCACGTCAAAGTGTTATTACACTAGTGTAATATCGTTTTTATTAAATGGCTTTATTACACTCCTGCGCCGCGGTTTATGTGATAAGTATCATTATGTCCTATGTATACCCATATGATTATATTTTCATCATTAATTTAGAGGTTGATCCTTTCATATTTCATGGTATGGTTATGTTATTTAGAACATACCATATAAACTAAAAGTTCATGGTATGGTAGTGTTTTTTTTATAAAATAAAAATATTCATATGACTGTCATTGTATGGATATATTTTTTGAGAGCATTTGGTATGGTATTGTTTGATATTAATAACATTATTCATTTAACAATCATGGTATGGTAGTGTAATTTTGGAAATGATTTGAATTACAGTTACAGTATGGTAGGGTTATTGTAATTTGAAATGGCCCATCGTGGTATATAATTTATATTGTCATGTACTGTAAGCATTCTTGTGGAAACCATTGTATGGTTAGTTCTTTTTGTGTAAAGAATGCATTATAGCATTGGAATGGTATGGTATTGGTTTTTATTATGTAAACATTGTCATGGTTTTTGAGGGACCAGTACATTAACTGGTTAGAATAATACGTTTTTTTATTACTAGGTTAATTTTGTATTCTAAATGATCAAAAGACTTTAGAAGAATCAGTGTATAAGTGTATTTGAAGATATACCATTGTCTTTGATTTTTATCTCACTTGTCTGTTACTGTACGTTGAGTACAAAATGGTTGGCAATTTATTGCAAAACTTTTGAACATAGCTTTTAACAATTTGTAGCAAGTTTGATATGTGCTAGGCCTAATTTCAAAAATTGTATGATTGTTTTTTTTTAAATATTTACTTCAATCGTAAAATAAATTTTGATAATTATGTTGTACATTTTGCAGTGTGGAGAGATATGTATTTTTTTTATGATATGCATAGTCACATATTTGAATTGTTGCTGTTTTGTACAAAGAATGATGCTAAAATAACTGTATATTTGAAGAAGAAGAAAAAAGAAATGAAAAATAAAATGCCATTGAAATCCATCCCATTTTAAATCATTTATTTGTTTTGTGTGCATGTTTGTGTGATGGAAAATTGGAATTTAACATTAAAGAATTCTTAAAGGTATGATATCATGTGTGGAGGAATTTGAGTGAAAAGACTTAATGTAACTTTGGTTAAAAACTAGCTTTTGAGATTGTTTGTTTATATACTTGTAATTGTACCTAATTACTCATTATTTCATCATTTTAATTTAAGGAAAAAGAATCATTTCAGATTTTTTTCTTTGGTTTCATTTTTACTTTTTTGCAAAATAAACTCTGAATACCCATTCAGGCATAGTATTACAAGTGTTATATCTAAATAACCTTGACATTTAAATATTCAGTAAATTTATTCCTTAAATTATCTCCCTTTATATATTATGACATCATATTTTGACATCATTCACAAAGATTAGATGTGGTATGTGTTTCCCTTTAAAATCATGTAACTATGCATTTTCTTTTGACAATACATGTGTGTTATTTATTAGTTTTATAATTATAAGTCTATATTTAAGATAAATCAACCTTTAAGCTGTTTTATTTGCATTGTGTGCTTGCCCTGTTTAGTCTATCAATATAAAAATGCTTTGTTTTTTTATAGGGATTTCAGTGTCTTAAAGCAGCTCGCCTCCAGATTCATGCTTATTTTCATGAAAATTTGAAAATGTATTTAAACAGTATAATATTGTGAAGTAACCAAAAGAATGCAATTTACACATTATCAATGGCACTTACAACCCATGTAAATTACCATAAAGAGGTCAAAATATGCAAAAATAGCCCTTACTGCGTTAGTAACGCAGTAGAAATATAGTTATAAATACTGAAAAATCGGTCATTAATCGCACATAACATGTAAATTATTACTAGAATTTTGAATCTTTATACTTTTCCTAAAATCTTAGTACATTTTTCTCAGGTTTGATTTTATCGAAATATTTTTGCTCATCTGGAGGCATGCAGCTTTAATATTGAAATTAAGCATCAAACATACCATATTAGAGTCTAATACGACAGCATATTTCCACAGCTTGGTGTGAAAGTGTCGTAATTCCTTCTTAATTTAATATGAGTTACAGCCCTTTCGCACCAAGCCCTAAATTTGCTCGCTGGAAAGAGACTGTATAGGTTGTAAAGATATGTATTATAGCTGCAAGTGTTTATTGTTTAGGAGACATTGCAAATTTATCTTTTATACATACCCTACCAAAAAAGTGTAATAGACAGGTCCAATGTAATAAGTTGGAACAGTCAAAGGGATTTAAACTGGTAAAAGGATGTGTGGGCTAGTGATCATTATGTCTGCAGCTAGTAACCCAGAAATAGTGGGTTCATGTCTTAACCCTGAACTTGCTGAATATTTTAAATGGACTTGTCCCACTTCCATTTTTGGGACTGTCCTTTATCAATTTTAGGGATATCAATTTGAATATTTAAAATTTGTCAGCCAACAGTATAGAGCCTGGTCAGACTGCACGGTAGTGCAGGCTGGCCTGGCTCTATACTGGTGGCAAAGACTTAATGCTTTCGGGTCCAGCACTTAAAGGGTTAATTACACCACACACTTTGTCAATTAAACTCCGCGCCTAAATCGGAAATGACATAACACCAGTACCAGTAGGTTGTAGGTAACTATCTCGAAAGTGGTTCAATTAACCCTTTCACTGCCATAGGGACGGCTTAAGCCGTCCCTGTTATTTTCGGCGTATTTGCCATATGGACGGCTTTAGCCGTTTCTATAATAATAATAGTAATAATAATAAATTAATAATAATAATAAAAAAATAATAATAAATATAAAGAAAATTATACCATCGACAATAATTATTATTATACTAACAATTTTGGAAACATATATAATTATTATCCCCCGCCGAAAATTTAGGCGGAGGATATAGTAATAGTCTCCGTCCGTCCGTCCGTCCTTCCGTCCGAAATTTTTGTCCGGAGCATATCTCTAAAAGTATTTGAGTTATCAACTTGAAACTTCATAGGTGGATAGACCTCATCGAGGAGGAGTGCAGTGCACAAGAATGATAACTCTACCTTGCATGATTTTTGAGTTATTGCCCTTTGTTATTTTTCAAAATTGATTTTTGTCCAGAGCATAACTCCAAAAGCCTATGAGATATTAACATGAAACTTCATAGGTGCATAGATCTCACTCAGGAGGTGTGCAGTGCACGAGAATGATAACTCTTCCTTTCATAATTTTTGAGTTATTGCCCTTTGTTATTTTTCATACCTAATTTTTCACCTGAGTGGAGCATAACTCAAAAAGTGTTTGAGATATCAACATGAAATGTCATAGAAGGATAGATCTTATTGAGGAGAAATGTTGTGCGCAAAAATGATAACTCTTCCCTATACAATTTTTGAGTTATTGCCCTTTGTTGTTTTTTTCATGCTATTTTGTCCAGAGCTTATCTGAAAAAGTATTTGAGGCATCATCTTGAAACTTCATAGGTGGATGGATCTCATTGAGGAGGAATGCAGTGATAAAGAATGATAACTCTGCCCTGCATTATTTTTGAGTTATTGCCCTTTGTTATTTTTCAAAATTAATTTTTGTCCAGAGCATAACTCAAAAAGCCTTTGAGATATCAAAATGAAACTTCACAGGTGCATAGATCTCACTCAGGAGGTGTGCACTGCACAAGAATGATAACTGTACCTTTTATAATTTTTGAGTAATTGCCCTTTGTTATTTTTCATACTTAATTTTTCAATTCAATTTTTTTCTAAAAAAGTATTTGAGGTATCAACTTGAAACTTCATAGGTGGATAGATTTAACTGAGAAGGGATGCAGCACACAAGGATGATAACCTA